TTCAGTGCAATTTTATGTTGACGATACCCAAGTATATCTGTCATTTATTAGGGGGAGTGTCGGGGAGAGCTGTAGAGAGCTAAATGCACCGAAAGAATTGTCTTTAAAGCACTCCCTCCTTCTTAATCCCCAAAAATGTTACTTATTATTATTAGGACGTAAATTAAATATTGACAGTGCAAAGGACAATATAAGGGTTGAAATCGGGGATACTGTGTTGCCCATAAAGGAGACTGTGCGTAATCTCGGCTTAGTATTTTATAGTTCTCTTAGATTTACGGCTAATATAAATAGTTGTTGTTGAAGAGCTTATGTCAGAATAATAAAAAAAAGGTAAAGACTTTACTTTGCGACCCCCTCGTACTGTCCTTATTCAATTACTGTGATGTTGTTTACACAAATTGTTTATACAGTTCTGACAAAAGAAAAATTCATGTCTTAGACTTATTCATGGAATAAGGAAGTACCAGACAATTTAGTTACGCATACATGCATAGTTTCTAGTTTATTTTGTGCAATATATAGAGTTTTTTATTTAATTATTTATTTATATAAGTTTTTCTAAATTAATTGCTTATATCACTTTTAATTTTCTTCATTTTTTTTATATATATTATAGGTATGCTTCTTTGCCTAGGTTAAGATTATAAATTAATTAATTCCCTATTTGGTTAAGCGGATCAGGGAGTTACTAATGTGAGTTTCTTATCTGAACTTCGCCATTTTTTGAACATTGGTATACTTACTTCTCGTTATTCATTTGTAAAATTTATGTTCGAAAATAAATACATTATTATTATTATTATTATTGTTATTGTTATTACTATTATTATTAAAGATTTAAATTGTGATTTTTAATTTTTTTTGTTTTTAGTTCCCTATTACAGCATTTTATTAAATAATTCGCCAAGATCATTTTGCTAGAAATTACCACATGAATCTAATATGAATTTAGCATCCATTAAAATAACGAATTTTTGGATAAGCCACGTTTTGAAGATAAACTTTTCAAAATTATCCTGAATTATAATTAATGAATTGTTCATGCCACCATTCGTGTGTTTATAGGCCTTAAAATGTAATAATACAGTTTCTGCTAGAGGATAACGATGCTTAAATTAACTCATCAGGATATTTAGATATTTTAAATAAACGATATTAATCGAAATAAAATTTAATAAAAAAAATCATACTAAAATCTTACAATGACACCCATGATACGTATACAAAATAAAATAAACACTAAGAAAACCTTACACTAACAAAGAAACGAGCTTTTTGAGGTTTTTAACCAGTTCATTGGAGCATGCCCATTCAGCACTTGGTTGGTCACCGTCGCCTCTCCTTAGATTGGAGCTCTCTGTCGGCGAGTTTCGGTATAAATTTAGAGTCGACACATGCACGCCTATTCTCAGGGCATGATGTAATTTTCACTTTTACTAGGCAAACGCGGTTTGCCAATCGGAAATGCGGAATGGCGTTTGCCCACGTGCTCGCAAACAGAATCAAAACCGCGGACACGGAGCCCCCCACCACCCCGCCATGCGGGTGGAATTTTAAAATAAAAAAATTACATCGTAGACGATTAAAAAAAGATCACTAAAAGCTTAATTAATATCAGAACTACTGAAGAAAATGCCGAAAACGACTTTCAGTTTTAATTTTTTTCTTAGTGTTTCGCCGTACCCAATAAGCTGTAATTTTTTAAAATTTAATTTTTATCTTGCATAAAAACGGATCGATATGGATGAAATTTTGTGAAATTGCTCGAAAAACTCATTTGCACAAATATTTCGCTTCGAAACTAAACAAAGAACTCAATATGCGAACTTTCTTTTTAATTACCTGTCGTTTAAAATGATTAGATTTTTTAATTAAATACATTACACAGTGACTATATTGTCCCTTGTCACCTTTGTTCCCTGTTTATTCTAAGAAAAATTTTTATTTCATTATTTCTTCTATTTAATTATATATAATTAAAAATTTATTCAATAGAAATTATTTTTATTAATTAGTTATTAAATTATTAATTAGAAGGGAGCGAACTTTCGATTTAATTGATTTAAAATGATTAGATTTTTTTAATTAAATACATTACACTTGTCCCCAGTTTATTCTAAGAAAACCTTTTATTTCATTATTTTTTCTATTTGTTAGATATTAATTAATTTCAAACGATAAAAAACAGAATAATTAAAAATTTATTCCACAGAAATTATTTTTATTAATTAATTATTAGATTATTAATTCTAAGGGAACCGAACATTTGATTTAATTAACTGTCGTTTAAAATGATTAATTTTTTTAATTAAATACATTACACAGTTATTATATTGTAATTAAATTTTATTCTGTATGTTGTTCTCTTTCTATAGCTTATGGAAATCTTGTTTTTCTCTATTATACTTCTGACAATTTTTAAAAGAGCCCGATCCAAAGATAAACAAAAAAAATGTCATAAAACGAAAATAAAATTCAAATTAAATTTTAACCTTAACATTAAAAAAACGTAAAGATTTTTATTAAATTAATAAAAGTCTGTTGAAAAATTTCGATTCTTATTTTTATCTTCTACTCTACTGCTAAATGAACCTTAAAAATGGGGTTTAGCTAAGAAAAAAAAGTTGCTTAGCGGAAATTTGATTTTCGGCATTTTATTAATTGAAACTTACATTAATTTTAAAAATGTATAAACAAACGACTCATTTTTAAGTTTTATCGTACACAAAAATGACGATGATGCATGTCATACATTTTTAAATCGGATTAAATTAGTTCAATCATAAATTCGCAAAATAAATTTTTCGCTTCCAGGCAAATATGGTTTTTTTTTAAGCATAAAAGTTACCATTTCACCAAATCTCATCAAATTCGAATCACTTTTGTGGGTATACAGCTGAAAAATATTTTTCTCTTTGAGATTAGACATAGATAAAATAAATATAATTTTTCCTAATTTTCTAGATAAGACTTCCTCTACGCAGTTTATAAAAAAAAACGCGCAGATAGAAACCTTTATTAATTACAACCAATTACATCGCGTCTTTGAGGAGCCCGCTTAAAAATAAACCTATTTACACATTTAAACAAATGCGTTACGTGTCGGTGCGTGTGACATCAGAGATGTTTCCGTCGATAATAGTAATAATTATTAAGGTTTCCTATCTCGAACGAAACCGCCATCTCAATCGGCGGTGCCTCGTGTTACTCCCGTCCATTTTTTGTTTTTTTTTATAGCCGAATCGATGTCCTGTTTATTATTTTTTATACTTAGCCAGCCAGTCTCGTACGGTTTTCCGACATTTCATTAGTTGCGACCAAAACTTTGTATATTTCGTATAGTTTTATTATATTTTTCTTTATATATATATATATATATATATATATATATATATATATATATATATATATATATATATATATATATATATATATATATATATATATATATATATATATATATATATATATATATATATGTGATGACACTATATTCCGGGATATCATCCGTTCGCTCGTTGAACTCCGACTGGAATCCTGCATCCGACTGGAATCCTGCAGACGTTTCGCCAAAATCTCACTTGGCATCTTCAATGCTCGCGCTCCGAAAACACTTCGAACACTGTTTTCGGAGCGTGAGCATTGAAGATGCCAAGTGAGATTTTGGCGAAACGTCTGCAGGATTCCAGTCGGATGCAGGATTTGCAGGATTCCAGTCGGATGCAGGATTCCAGTCGGATGCAGGATTTACAGGATTCCAGTCGGATGCAGGATTCCAGTCGGAGTTCAACGAGCGAACGGATGATATTCCGGAATATAGTGTCATCACATTTTTCCATCCGTGAATCAATACGTGAGAATATATATATATATATATATATATATATATATATATATATATATATATATATATATATATATATATATATATATATATTATTGTTATACAATTTAACGTATTTTTCTTGTATTTATTAGTTTGATTCGCATCTCCGTTTTCCGTTTTATTTCTTTTCTCTGTTATTTGTCGAGTAATTTCTCTTTCGCTTGTTTCTCGCCCTCCTTTCGTGGTTTGGCAATTGGATTTATCTTATTATATTACTTTCTCTCCTTTACTATATCGTTTCTTCTTTAAATAGAGTTGCCAGATTTCAAAATTAGAAAAGCGGGAGTTGAGGTTAGTGCTTTTAGGAGAGAAAGTAAATCTTTAAATCTTAAAACCTTTTTGTGGACATTTGTCGTTGAAAATATGAAAACTAGGCAGAACTATGAATAAAGATTCTTTTTTCGTATCTGCTTAATAAAACTGATTTAGGCGTTAAAAAACAAAAACGAAATAAAATTCTATTCGCAAAACCCTAAATTAACCACAAAGTAGTATGGGAGGCGCATCACAAAAATTTGCGTAATACTAGGGGTAAAATGGACTGCTTAAAAATTCTAAAAATAAAGAGTACCTTTTTTTTATTAAATACTTTTTAATAAATAATTATAATTATTATAAATAATCGAGAGTGGGGCACGACGGCCAGAAGTTTCGCCAAAATTTGGGTAAATTTAGTTAGAGTTAGTCAAAAGGAAATGGACTTCACAAAAAATTATAAAAAGTTTAAGTGGGCCGCCTTGCCCCACCGTCCCCTACACCTATATACATATTTTAGTATTATTATTTTTCATTGAATGTTAATATTTTCGACTAGATTTAAACTTTTTATAATATCTGGATCGTCTTGTTATTTAAATCAGCAAATTCTTGACAAGTTTTGCAAAAATTTGGTTTCACCATCTTATTCGGCTTCTAATGTTACGAATACGAATACGCACGTCTTTGTTTAACTCCGCCGATTTTCTTGTTTTAATCATTTTTTTATTTTTCTTTTTCGTTTAGTCACCGGGTTTTTCCTCCTCCTCTTAGCCCCCCCCCCCCCCCAACGACGCTGGCGACCCAATAAAAAGGTTTTGTACCTCGTTTTGCATTGTACTCGGCTCGATAGCAACGCGTCGTCGGCAAAAGATAACGTTACGGCTTAAATTTTCGCGCCAGTCGGCATTTTTTTCGACTCTCTCTCTATCGTCGAGGCCGGATTTTTACGGATTTCTCGTTTTCCGTAAAAGGGAAGCACGCGCGTGGGCCCCGCCATACTTTTCGCGCGTTTAATAATAAAGTTGACGGTGTCCCGCGATGTTTGTTTCGCTCAAAACTCTCGGACAAGTGTCCGTTTCTTGAGGCGACGGCGCCGATCGTCTTGGTGGCCGCCCGGACGTCCCGATTCGATACCCGCGTAATTTGAGGCGAAAGTGTCGAAGATATGGTCGGACGAGTCGATTACTCCAGTAAGTTTCGATAGTAGACGCTAAATCGTTCGTCGCTTACGTAACCACGCGGTATTTATCTAATCTAGAATCGGCCTATAAAAAGATTCCGATACGGGTCGCACCGCGGATTAAAAATAGTAAAATGCCGGGAGAAGAAAGTGATAAAACGCCGGATGCCAGATGGAGGCAGTAAAAACGCTCGCGCGACCTTGATCCGGAATATTCGGCAAAAAAAATCTTTTTCTCTTTTTTTTTTAACAATAAATTCACGCAGTTCGAGAAAAAATCACGAAATCATCGTTTGGGCCACGCCTTATATTATACGCGCGTAAATGTGGAACAATACAGTGACTAAATGCGCGACCATATCTACTAGCAAAGACCGTTAGCCGACAAACATCGTAGCTGCCAAAACGGTCATAAACGACTTTTTATTAGGACGAACGGTCAAATTTGTCTGTTCGTGGACGAAATTGAATAATAGAAATACAACGGGCGCTCGAAATAATGTATAAAATGTAAAGTTTTATGTCGCCACTATGCAAATTAAAAACAATTACCAAAATGACTAAGACTATAATTTATTGGACCAGATAAAACCGCAGGAATTGTGCGAGTGGGTTCGCTGCGCCAGTAGCGTAGCTAGAACACGTTTGATTTTATATATTTAAAACAGTTAGATAAAATCATTTCAAGACAAGCATTATCAAGCAAAGCAATCAAAGATATAAGAAAACGGTTTTGAAACAATTATCATTTTTAAAAATTAATTTGCAACGATAATAAATGAAATTGATTTCGTTTACTGTACGAAATGACAATACAACTGTTAATTAATATGATTGCTACTATTTACAAATCTTCTGGATTCCTACTGCGTCGGTTATTTATAAACCAAACTTGCTGAGATTTGGCCCATCATCCTGTTGGCTTCTTCAGAGCTTGACTGAAACTGCTCCGAACAAGTTCTGAAGAAGCCGACATCTTCCATGCACAAGATTTGTAAATAGCATTACAGAGCCTTTTTTGAAAAACTAACATGATTGCTTTAATTAAATTGCAATTTATATTATATTCTATTGAATCACTAAATCATAATTAGTTTGAAACCATAATAAATAAAATTACAAACAAACAAAATGATGAAAATCATTTCAAGACAAGGAAAATTTTAAAACTGCACTCTAAAGCAATGAAACTTTGAATTGCGATAATTTTATTGATTTTAAAGGAAACTAACCAAAACTTTTGATTTTATTGTTCCATTTTTTAAAGTGCTTTCTTAATTCAAAACAGTAATATAAAAACAATATAATTAAAATGATTAGAAAACAACCATATAATTAAGAAAATAGTTTGGAAACAATAACAATAGTATATTAGTACAACAAGTGAGACAAAGATTTTAAAATGTTACTAGTTACCATTAACCCTATTCGTTTATCGTTCCCATCGATTCGCTATTGTTGTCTCTTTTTAACTGAGCTCGTTAAATAGAGAGAGAGAGAGAGAGAGAGAGAGAGAGAGAGAGAGAGAGAGAGAGAGAGAGAGAGAGAGAGAGATGTATAAATGGGTATATCATATAAACAATTGAATAAACACAATTTTAAAACGTTATGTTGTTTATTTAACGTTTACAATTGATCATTAAGTATTTTATTTGAAGAAAAAAACTGTATTTGAAAGAAAAATCATCCAAGAATAGAGCTATCAAATGTTGAGGATTAATTTTTTAAGATCCTGTAAGCAAAAAAAAACAGGAGCTAACCTTCAATTTTGTTTTGTTTGTACTGACGAGATATTTGGAATTGGATATTTGAAAATGGTACAATTTGATCCTGGTGAGATATTAATATAAAAACTGTAAAAACTACTATAGTTCATGCGAACGGTATGTAAAATTTCTGTGGGGAAACTTAAATTATAAATGTGACTTTACTTACCAACTAGTCAACTAGATTTTAATTGTGCACATTTTTCTATGTATTAGTTTTTAGGTACATTTTTCCAAAACAATACAAGATTGACAAACGTAAAATCTCCGAAAATATCCCGGAAATGTCCGAAGTGGCTCGGATCCGTGAGAAACGAAACTGACGTGGATCGGGGTGTAATTAGGTATTTTGCAGACGGAAGTCGAAAAACTTGTTAATAATTGATTTTTGAATAATTAAAACTTTGTCTCGAAGAAAACAAATTTTATTTGTTTTTTATACATTTCGAGCTCGTCGCAAATTCCAGACGCGGGACTGACCCACTTCGCGTTTCCCAACAAATCTTCGGGTGCCATTCGAGAGAAGAGAAATGCGTCGTATATCATCAAAACGCATCGGGAACTGTCTATTTGTATAAATCGTCCGTCGAACATGTGTTCGAGGCAAAACGGTTTGTTTACCGACGACGGCTAAAGACAAAAGAGCATCGCACCCGGTGCGTCGTCTCGCGCAATCTGACGTCCTCAATTGAACGTAATTTAAAAGCTCGATGTCGTCTAACAAATCGTCCCCGTTCGTTAGTTCCTTCTTCTGCTTTGATTCGACGCATTTGTTCATTAAATTCAAAGACCTCTAACATAGATCTGTCGTTAACTTGTACAATCCATATTTTTCTTTATTCGTTATAGTTTTTTCCTTTTTTTTCTGTCTTTCTTTAGAAGTTGTTACTTTTTCAAAGATTATTTTGTGTTAAGTGTTTTATTTCGTTCATTTACATTTTAATCTTCACAATATTTATTTGTAACCGTTATTTCAATCGCAGAGCGTGTTTCGGTTATTTAGTGTCCTTTCTTTTATTTGTATGTGCAACTTCTGCCTTGATTCTACACATTTATTCGTTAAATTCAAAGATCTGTCATTAACTTGTATAGTCCACATTTTTCCTTATTTAATTTTTCGTTACAGTTTAGCTTTTACTTTATTCTCTCTATTTTTCTTTAGAAGTAATTCTTTTAACGATTATTTATTATCTAGTGTTTTGTTTCGTTTATTTACATTTTTATCTTCACAATATTTATTTTTATCCTGATATTTCAATCGCAGAGTGTCCTTTTTTTATTTGTATTTGCAACTTCTGCTTTGATTCGACACATTTACTTGTATAGTCCACATTTCCCCTTATTTAATTTTGCATTATAATTTAGTTTTTCCTTTCTTCTTTCTTTAGAAGTAATTCTTTTAACACAACGGGCCCATCTGGTGGCCTAAGTGCTTGGACGCCCGCGTGGGCGCCCCCTTTAATTAATACCAAATTCTTTTAACGATTGATTATTCATTATTTAGTGTTTTGTTTCGTCTACTTACATTTTTATCTTCACAATAATTATTTGAATCGCAGAACGTTTTTCGTTTATTTAGTGTCTTTTCTTTGATTTCTATTTGATTCGGCGCATTTGTTCGTTAAATTTTATAGTGCACAGCTTTCCATATCGTTATTATATGAAGTTTGAATTTCATTTTTATGGAATAGCACATTGTTTTCCTTTTTTCTTTCCATTTTTCATTTGGAGTATTTTTTTATTTAACTATTATTTATTATTTTATTGTTTATTTTTAATTTGTTAATAACTTTTTTTCCCGGTGATTGTTGCTGCGTTTTCATTCTTTTCTTTGTATTTCTCCTTTCACTTCGGCTTTGGTTCCATACATTTGTTTCGCTATTATTGTAAACGAATTTCATTTTTACGTTACAGTTCGGTATTTTCTATCTATTTTTCATCAGAAGTAATACCTTTATTAACCTTTATTTATTATTCCTTCTCCTGCGTTTTGTTTCCTTTATTTACATTTACGTTGTTTTTATCACAGGGAGATTTTCGATTATTTAATCGTTTTTTTTTATTTGCATTTACACTTTCTGCTTTAATTCAACACATTCGTTCCTTAATTAGTCTACAACTTTTCTATCGTTATAATTGAAATTGAATTTCATTTTTGCGTTATAATTTAGCGTTTGTTCTTCCTTCTTTCTATTTCTTCTTCTTATTATTATTCAGTGCTCTTTTTGCTGCATTGGTTTTCTTTTATTTGCATTCAATAAAATTCTTCGTTGATTCGACGTATTTGTTCGTTAACTCTTAAATGCTATATAACCTTTTTTTTTATTTTAATAATTAAAATTAACTTCTTGTTACTAGCGATTTTCGAATATCTGCTGCTATTTTTGTTGCGTTTTTTTTTATTTGATCTTTCTGGGTGTGTTTATTGCTTGTCTTCATCTCCGCGATGCTTTTTGCGTACGGATGCGTTTTTTTTTTGCGAGCGACGCCTGAAACGCGACGCGCCGCCGTATTCAGTCGGGCGCCGCGACGTCAGGGAGATGCCTCGCGTCTTTCGTCCGCGAAATCCACACGGGGCCAGCACGACGACGCGACACGAACCCGTGTGCTAATTAGTTGGTGACGGAAAACATCGTGCTTGTTGACACGTATAATTAGAGGGCGTTTGCTGTCTTTTTTTTTTCACGGACTCTTCCGGCTCGTACCATGGTGGGGTATTATAACCAAGGTAGGACGTTGACGCGACAAAAAAAATGGAATCGTATATTTATAATTAATTTTACCCGTTTTTTTTTTAGTCGTTTCGCGAGAGGCGCCTTTTTTTTATTTTAATTCCCCCTCTATTGACATTTCGACCTTTCCAGCCTGAAAACGCGAATTTAATCGATTTTGGCACTTCAAATTTGTTCTTCATCCAGCTCTCTCAACTTATATTCGAAACTAACCTTTGGCTTTGAATTTGGAACAAAAATTATATTAAATATAAATACTAAAAAATTATTAATTAAAATCGAGTAAATTTAAAGTACATATTAAAATTCGCTGACCTGAAAATAATAATTGTACGTTTAATTTTTTTTTTAAATAACATTTTTCCAAAACACGTGTTCCAGTTCCTGTGTGCAGAATTTTATTGTTATTAAAAGTCTTGTTCATTGCTGTTCCCAATTTTTCAATTGCTAGCCTAGCCTAGCCAGTTAATCTCCTCTAATTTGTTAAATAGTTGATAATCAATTTGTATTGTTCCAGGCGTCCCAGCTAGCGCGGACCTGGAGAACAACTCCAACCAGAAAAAGTACACGGTGAACAGAGGCGGGGACAAGGGTGGACTCGTCATATCGAAGCCGCTATGCACCCTTATGGCGATCGGGGCCCTCTTGTTGGCCATCCTCGCCGGCCTCGTCGTCTTCTTCTTGGTTCCAAGGGGTTGCGCCGGTGACGACGTCCACCCCCAAGCCTTGCAGAAGCACCAGCCAGTCGTCGAAGATGGCGAGTCGCGCCTTCAGCCCGACAGCGAAGAAGTCGAAGAGAGGCTACCCAGGGACCTAATGCCTACCCATTATAGGTGAGTTAAGGTATAAAATTCTCTTGCTTTAGACATTGCGTCTTGAATTTTAAAAAAGGAACTGCTACTAAAATTATTTTCGCGGCTACCTCTCGTACCGTGCGTTCAATTTATCTTGCAACTTTTTTGTTTCTAGAGATAAAAAAACAAAATGTCAGGTTAGTAGCCAGGTATTTTCTTGGATTTTTGTGGATTTTTCGTTTTTTTATCAAATAAAATTTTATGCCCGGTTTCGTGATTGTGTTGGGTAACAGCTGATGAGTTTATTTGTCTTAGTCGTAAGGCTCTTTCGTGTTCTTTAAGCCTAGTTGATATTTTTCGTTTGGTTTCTCCAATGTAGTCTTTGCCGCGTATGCATGGAATGCTGTTAACTCTTGGCATATGAAATCGAATTTTACCTTTGACGGACCGAAGATGTTGAGCGATTTTTGGAGAAGTGGTAAATTTGGTTTTGATGTTAAACTTCTTTAGAACTTTTGATATGTGGTCAGTGATATTTTGAACGAAATCAAAAAATACACTTCACCACAACCTTCCAATAGCAATGAGGCCGAAAGCCATCCTACACTTGCCACTGTAATCCTTCCTGACATTCAAAATATCACTGACAACATATCAAAAGTTCTAAAGAAATATAACGTCAGGGTGTTGGCCAGGGCACTCCTTGAAATTATATAAAAATTTCCTATTTTTCCCGATTTATCAAAAACGAACGGACTAAAATATAAAGTGTGTTACATCACTGTAATCGGAATAAGATATTCATTAAACACATATATAATATACAGGGTATTGATAGTGTTTTTTGAACTGATGAAAATCCATTTATCAAAATAAATAAGAACTAAAAGTTCAGATTTTCACGAAATTATATATTAGAGATTTGATAAAGACACGGTGTTGTCGAAACAATTGTCATGTCAGAATATATAATTTCGTGAAAATCTGAACTTTTAGTTCTTATTTATTTTGATAGTGTTTTTTTATACGTCACTTTGAAAAAAACTCTCTCCAAAAACAAAAAAGTTCCAGCCAATTAAAATGTTATCAAGATAAATTGAACGCACAGTACATATCACGTGTCTCGCTGATGTGTTCGCGTGGTTTCCTCCCTTAAAATTCCAAAACGGGTCCGTCTAAAAGCGGAACCAATTGGAAAAGTGCGACGAAGGTGCATTTCGACCTAATCTAATTGATTTGCGACGCGAAGGAGGAGACAAAACCACGCCCATCGACGATAAGAATCCGGGTTTATGGGGCAACTGGGTCGCGAAATGGGTCGATTGTACACCGTGCCCTTCGAAAAGACTTTAAATTATTTTCGAATTAAAATATCCTTATACAGGTGTTAAGCTTTTCTTTGTACCGATTCTTTCTTTCGAATTGAAATAATCATAAACCTTAACTAAAATTAAAGGCTCTCTCTTAAAGTAGTTTTTCGAAAAAAAAAAAGCTCTAACAAAATGTTTTTAATTTATTTTTTATTAAAAAATTTTCGTAGGTGGGGGTAACAATTTTTTTTTAAATCGCATTCATTGTGTGACACACGCATGTCGTCCAAATACGAGAAAAACGAAGGAGATTGGATCCGAAGGGCCTGGTGTCCGTTTCCGATTTCTATGCCGTATTTTTGACTATAGGTGCAATAATACGAGTTCTATTTTTGCTGATTGCATCTGTCCCGCTCACGAGTTTGATTTGCCAGCTTCCTGGCGGGTAGAAACGTTGCCAGTGGCCCATTAATCAACTGCCTCGTTTTGATGTTGGGACGAATTTGCGCGGGCGGCGAGGCTTGGTCTTTCGAGAAAGGTCGAGGACGTCGTAACCGTGTCGCGGTGAAATTTTATGGCGTTTTTGGGGGGTGGATACGGTGTTTGTTTTAAAAGATTAACGACACGACCCCGCAAGGATTTACGGCCGCGGCCTGAACAAATCTATAAACGCGTCGTCACGTCGCGGCCATTTTTTTTTTCGTTCAAGGGGGGGCGTAGGTTCTTTTGCCGATCCACGAGGTGACTTGAAAGTATCCCGAAAAAAAAATCCTAAATTTATGCATATTATAGCTTTTCAAACTTGAGTGCATAGAAATCGAGCCGTTGTGAAGTTTTGACTTCAATTTCTTTTTTTTTTAGATAAAAAAAATATGCTGTTTGAAAGACAATTTAATATGCTTTAATACGAGTTTAAATTGATAATTTTTCAAAGAAACTTTCACAGGCTACTGTAATACTTTTTACAAAACTTCTGCATTCCTCCTGCGCCGGTTTTTGCTGAGTCGAACTTGCTGATGTTTCGCCAGTTTCGTACTTAATTCCTTTCACTTCATTGCAAAATTAAAAAGCATTACAATAGATATACAAGATATTCTAGTTAGTTTCGACGTAGAATCCCTCTTTACCAAAGTTCCTATTCCTGAAACTCTCGACATCATTTCAGATCTATTAAAGTCCGAAAATCTGGACAAAAACCTTCTCACTTTAATTGAAAAATGCTTGTCTGAAACATAACGGTCAAATTTTTGAACAAACGTCGGGAATAGCTATGTGTTCTCCACTATCATCAGTCATCGCGAATATATTTATGGAAGGCAAGGCTTTCAGAAGAAAGCTCTAGACACCTTTCATCTAAAACCAAAATTATGGAAACGCTACGTCGATGATACTTTTGTTATTTGTCCTTAAGGTCAAGAAACCCTAGTAGATCTTCTTAGACCATTGAGTTGGAAACTAATAATAACCTTCAATTCTTAGATATTCTTATCAATAAAAAATCAGACCTAAGATTGGGTCGTTGTGTTCACAGAAAACCTATGCACACAGACTGATACCTTAATACATGGACACATCACCATCCGTTATCAAATCTCTTGTTGACAGAGCCGTAAAATGTACAGAATTAAATTAAACGAAGGACCATCTTTTTTTCGTTGCCCATTAGATGACGCCAGGTAATACTATTTCAAAAGCTTTTCTCTCTTCCTTTCCAGGGAAAGTCCAGTAGCTCACTTTCTCAATTGATTTTATTGCTTACCGCTATATTTCATAGCATATATTCAATCTCATCCTTGTTTGCAGGTACCGCGTTTGGAAAAATGTACTTGGATTTATAGACACTCATAAATACGCTAGAATAACGTTAAAACAAAGTCGAATAGGATTTTTTTTCAGCTTTGCAAATGGAGGTGACAGGTTCACCTCCGATGGTAAGATTCTCCTGGGTAATTAACAAAATACCGACTTTACTTATTGCCTGGTACTTTTATGTAATTAATATATGCATGTTTTAGAAGAAAACAAAAACAAATCTTATATTAAGAAAGATGTATGCATTCAAACTGAAATTAACACTGCAAGCGTCGGATGCCAGTCAGAATGTTCAAATCAAATAGCTATTTACATTTAAATAGCTATGGTTGTTCATTTGTTTATAGTTCAGTTCATTCATTCCAAGATTCCAAAAAAAACACAATTTCATAACGTACTTGCGAATTGAAACAACAAACATACAATCAGAGATCCCTCGTAACTCTGTAGAATAACGAACACATCAAAGGTCCAACCGAGAGTGTGGCAACTTATATTTTAATTCTGTAAACTTAGGTTAAAGTATTATTTAAATTTTTTTCGTTTAATGCTATTTGCTGTCTGCAGGAAAATATACTTTTCCCGTAGGCATAGGCTATTAATCCTTTCCTCCTTTATTAAAATTTAACTAATGAAGAAAATATCACTCCTGCTTTGTAGGATACAAATACGACCGTACTTTGAAAACTACACGACGGCGGGTACGGAAACCGTAACCTTATTGGTCGAGCAGGACACTGACGTCATCATTTTCCATGCGAACAAAATCAAAATAGACCGAGGTTCCGTAAGGATCCGGCCGGCGGATCCACCAGACGCGAACCCCATCGACATCGTCTCGCAGGAGTACCTCGACGGCGAGCGATACAAGCTAGTGCTGAAAACTTCGCTCAGCAAAGAATCTCTGTATTACTTGACGCTCGATTTTGTCGGCGAATTGAACGCCCATCTTCAAGGTTTTTACCTCAGCCGATACACGAGTCACTCGGGAGAGCCCAGGACTTCGCTGAGTACTCAATTTTCACCGACGGACGCTAGGCGCGCGTTTCCCTGCTTCGACGAACCTTCGTTCAAGGCTAAGTTCGTCATCAAAATCGCTAGACCGTCTAACATGTCGACGTTGTCCAACATGCCCGTAGAGAAAACCGACGTGTTTGAGTAAGCCTCTCCACCTATCTACTCCTTAACCACACTTTAATTCGTAAAAAATCGCCGATATTTAAGATCGTTTTGGCCTTCATCTCTTCTCTTTTTAATAAGTCTTCTTCCCATAAGATCATTTTGGCCTTCCTCTCTTCTCTTTTTAATAAGTCTTCTTCCCATAAAATCAGTTTGGATTTCCTCTCCTCCTTTTACCCACTCTGCCTTATGCTTTATCCTCTTACCCTTCTTCGTACATTAGGACAGACGTCTCCTCCATTTAACTTCCCCTTTTTTCCGGATGCTTCTCTCTTTTTCCTTCCTTCCTTTTTTATATCATCATTGATCCAGTGTATCCATCCTTCTCTTTTAAATTAGGGTTTCGTTCCTCTGGAGAGACTCCTCTGGTCTCTATCTCAATTTGATTTCTTCATCTTTTTTTTTAAACCTTCAACTACTATCGCCGCCTCTTTCTTTGAGTTTTCCTCTTGTGATTCCGATTCATATTTTTAGTTAGTTAATTCCTCGAAGGTTACTGGACCTTCTATTTCATGTTTTCACTAACATTGTCTTAGCTTTTAAATCGTTCTCCTTTCAAGAAGATCCCTATATTGAGTCTCTATTGACATCGATTTAATTCCCTTATTGTGACGTTTTAGCACCGGCAATGGGGCGTGGCTCTGGGACACCTACCCAGAAACGCCCGAGATGCCCACGTACCTGGTTGCGTTCCTGGTAAGCGATCTGGTAAAGATGCAATCGAGCGACAGACTGATAAGCGTGTGGGCCAGAAAAGAATACGTCTCCCATTCGAGCTATGCCCTCGAAGTGGCGCCGAAAGTACTCAGGTACTTCGAAGAGTACTTTCGGATCAGTTTCCCGTTGCCGAAGATCGACATAGCGGCCGTACCGGAGTTCGGGTTCAGCGCGATGGAAAATTGGGGCCTAATCACATTCAGGTGGGCACGTAGCCACGAGTACTCCGATGGGCGCCTCTGAACTTCGTAATTTCAGAGAGAGCACGTTACTGTTCGACCCGCTGAGCTCCACAGTCGAAGACCAAAGGGCCGTGGCGACGGTTCTTTCACACGAGATCGCTCACCAATGGTTCGGCAATCTCGTCACTCCTAGATGGTGGAACGACCTGTGGCTCAAGGAGGGTTTCGCCACATATTTGGAGTATCTTGGCGTTGACCACGTGAGTCGGAAGCACCTAAATTCTAACCCCGTGCGACGTGCGGCGGTGTTTTCCAGGCTCAACCGACTTGGAAGATAACCGAAGAGTTTCTGCCCAGCGAAATCGAGAAAGCAATGTCGGTGGACTCGTTGGAATCGTCCAGACCCATATCGTTCAATGTGGTCAACGGGCGGCAAATCAAACAGGCGTTCGACGACATATCGTACGCCAAAGGCGCGTGCATCATAAGGATGATGAACCACTTCTTGGGCGAGGACACCTTCAGGAATGGCCTGGCCAAGTTCCTCGACCAGCACAAGTACGGCAACGCGGACAGGGACGATCTGTTCCGGAGTTTGTCGGAAGAAGCCCATCTAAGAGGGGTGCTACTGCAGAACGAGACCGTGAAACACATCATGGATACGTGGACCGAACAAGCCGGTTTCCCGGTACTGAACGTCGTGCCTGATTACGAGAAAAATGCGTTGAGGATCCTCCAAAAACGCTTCCTGATCTCGAACTCCAAAGGGGACGGTTCCAAGTGGTGGGTTCCCATCTCATACACGACCAGCGTGAGACCCGACTTTGCTGACACCAAACCGAGGATATGGCTCAGGGAGGAGCCCGAAACGACCGCCGACGTCGACCCGATCGGCGACTGGTACCTCCTCAACCTCAATCAAACCGGTACGAACTTGTAACGGTGCTAGCGACTCTTCGATCTACTTGGCAACACTTTCTAGCAGGGACTAAAAACGAAAAGTATTTTGTTCGTTTTCGATCAAAACGAAAACGAAAAATGTTGTTTTCGTTTACACCCAAAAAATATCGTTTTCGTGAACCGAAATGAAATAATAACGGTTAAAACCGGATTTTTACTATTTTTCTAATAAAAATATGGTAACAAACATTTATTACACAGAAAGCGAAATAAAGTTTTATTCGAACTGGCCGATACAAAGGCTGGGATAATTGAGAGCACATTTTACACTATGACAATCGAATAAATAGGGCTTTTGACGCGTTATCTTCGCTTTGCTTTCGGCTTCGTCTGCAGTTTGGGGCATATAACTCATGTCATAATTTGAATCATAGCTGACAAAAATTACTAACATAAAATTTATGCTTTTAAAAACTTAACTAAATGTTAAAAAGTTCAATCAACTGCATTTTAAGTGGCGATATCATTTTTGCTTTTTATAGAGGCGCGAATCTGTTTTAGTTTCTTTCATTTGTTCCCATTAAATTTAGTTAGTTGAAAAATACGCACAAACTGCGATGCAGTTTAGCGGAATGCCAGTGACAGATAGTTTGTTTTTTTTTATTCATATTTTAAATAGTAATATTTGTTTCTTTTCTCTCTGATCTTGATCTATGTAAATTAACTTTTTCTTATTTCAATTTTTTTTTTAATTCTTCCTTTGACAATTTAAAATATATTTCAGTGCTGAAAATGCTCGTTCAACACTCATTCGTGTCATAGGTTAACCAATAATTTGTTTTGCAACGTTATACAATTCATTTGATGACGTTTCTTTTGCTGTTCAATATTTTAAGACTCTAACTAACTAACCATCGAATATTTGCTGTATTATGTGGTTTTGAAGAAATATTTTCTTTTTGTTTTACAAATTGCTCTATTTCATCTTCTTCTGTTGAAGTTGACTCTTGAGATGACTCTTCAACGAAGTTGTTACCTTCATTTATATGTTTTAGAGCATAGCATACATATGGGATGTAGTTTTTAGCTATGTGAATTTGTGAAGTAGATAAAACTACTTCGATTCTTGGATCAAGAAATATCGCTGACATATCACATCTTGATTAAATAGTGCTTTTGTCCTTTCGTTTAGGGATTCCACTGAATTTGTTACAAATCGGCTACAAATTTCACAAGTTTCCATTGTACACTTCAGCCAACAAATCGGATCTAAAATTTTTCGAAAACCCGAATTATTAGATATGCTGAATGGACGGCCGTAAACTGTTACCAGTTCTGTACACGCTTCCTTCAACAAATATTGGTTTTTTGTTTTATAACGACATCATCTAAGGTAGGTTGGATATTTAGCCGCCTGTTTTTAGTTGTTGCTGATGAATTTGACTTTATGGCAAGATGGTACATGTCGCTGCAAGTTTCCCGAATGATTTCCATTTATTAATGTGTGGCACTCCTTGACTTTACAAGTCGATTGTTGATTTGTTAGATTCATTTAATATCTTTCCATTGTTAAAATGTAACCTTTATATATTTATAACAACAACTTAACGAGATTAAGACACACAAACAGAAACACAATACAGACCAATACCCATAAATTATTCGGTTATTTCCGTTCTTTCGTTCTCGTTTTCGTTCCGTTCTTAGTACCTGCTTTGCAGGCTATTACGTCGTCAACTACGACGAGAAAAACTGGAAATCGCTCAGCGCCAACATCATGAGTCTCCCGCCGCTGATACGGGCGCAGTTGATCAGCGACTCAATGGACTTGGCCCGAGCTAACCAGCTGGATTATTCCATTCCGCTGACGATGATCGCTCGCATGGCCATACAAGACAAGATGATCATGTTCGTGCCTACGACGGTCGCGTTCAGCAAACTCAAATATCTCAGCGACATTTTGCACAGCACCCCGGCGTTTGGTCTGTTCGAGGAGTACCACAACGCCATCTTCAAAGGCACGTACAACTTGGTCGATTTTGACGACAGCATCGAGGACTACCTGACGAGGAGGATCAGGCAGACCGTGTTAGAATGGTCGTGCAGAAGTCCAGAATCCGTGTGCGTACACAAGTCGCGATACGCTTTCAGGAAATGGATGGTGGACGGCAACATGTGAGTATGAGAGCACTGCGAGGTAGCGCGGAATTCAACACGACGTTCTGCTCTGTTAGGATTTTGCCAAATCTGAGACCCATCGCGTATTGCACCGCCATCAGGGAAGGGTCGGAGATCGAATGGGACTTTGCCTACCAGAAATACTTGGAGGCGACGTCACCCACTGAGAAGAATGTCCTGCTGGACGCCTTGGGATGTACCAAACAGAAATGGCTGCTTTCAAGGTAACCGGCTAACACCCGACCATAGGCACAGCTTGGGGGGGGATGGTAGATACTAACGCAGACGCTGGGCTCTGCAACCTTGTGCCTTATTTGCAGATATGTCCGCAAATTAACTGACACAAATGACGAAAATTACAGCATCAGGATCCAGGACGCTGACCGAGTGTTTGAATCGGTCGCCAAGAACAAGGAGGGGACTAACATAGCGTTCGATTTCATCCGGAAGAATTGGAACGAGCTGCTGACGCAGTAAGTGTTGGAGGGGACACATAATCGCCATTACGTCCCTTTTTGTTGCAGCTACGGCGACGGCTTCAACATACTCGGCAAAATGATCAAGTCAGTGGCGGTCCATATGAACACCGACTTCCAGTTGGCCGAAGTAAGTTTTTTTGTTAATATTCTGTAAGAAGAAGAACGCTCATTCTTATTTTTGTGGAGGAAATTGACTAGTCCAGGCGTTTATCCCATTTTTTAAATTGCAGCTGGAGAGGTTCCGGGACACCATTAGACCCAACATAAGCACGACGACCAACGCATTCGACAGCGCAACCGAAACGGTCAGGTCGAACGTCAATTGGCTTAAACGGAACTACCAGCAAGTGGATGAGTGGTTGAAAAAGTATCACAACCAATTCGGTTACATTCAGTGATGACGTCGTCGTTTGTTGGAACGCCTGCCCGGTGGTGCCTTCCAGTTTTAAATAATTCAACCCAGTATTGTTTGGAACGCGCACTTGTTTTAAGTTATTGTGATACGTACTTTATTGTTCACTAAGAATTTCCTTCCTGTAAAGCGCTTAGAATAACATTATTAGACACCGTGACTAACCCCAATTGTAAGCGTTCGCGCATCGCGGTCGTTAGACTACAGCACCAAAGTGTAGATTGTTAATAGGGAGCCGAAACTTTTTTTTAATGTTTTAAACCCCTTACCTAACTAGGTTGTAACTTGTAAGAATGTTTTAATTTATTTTTATTACGTAAAATCCCACGATATTAATAAACTTTTAGTTTCGCACGTTTCTTTTCTTAACTGATTACCACAAAATAAATTGGGCGACCGGCACTTATCGACGCGCCCTCGTAACGTGTTATTTCAAAAACCCCGCGTTTTTCGAACCGGAAATGCCTGACTGACGGCGCACAAAACAAATGACTGGCCAAATCCGACATGGCGGCCGTTATCGTATTATCGCGACAGCGAAATTTCAAAGACCCTTAACGTTGGCGTTTTTGTTTTCGATATTCCGTGCGAAGAATCGACGGAAGCGTGCAATTCGCATCTCCTACCGGATAATCACCCGAGGTGTACCAGAGAAACCAAGGCAAAAAAATGAGCGTCGACGCGTACGGGCCTAGTTCTCAAACGCTCACGTTTTTGGATACAGAAGAGGCCGATCTAATTGGGGCCGACACCCAGGGTTCCGAATGCGACTTTACGGATTTCACAATACCCTCGCAGACGCAGGCCTCGCAGCACGACCACGCGGGCCCCAAAGTGGCCGGAGTACAGGTTAGTTTGCAGTCATGGCCAAAGGACTTTGCTTCCTATTAATGTCTCCTAACGTCGATATTGATTGTGTTTTCGCGTCTCTAGATCAACACCGGCATCGTGAACAAGATCGCTTCAGCGACAGCGGCCCTTGGCGAGTTACAATTTGAAGAAGAAGATGAAGAGTTCTACAACAGCAAAGAATTGCCCGATTTCGCGTGCAAGTATTGCGGCATCCACGAGCCCAATTGTGTGGTCATGTGCAATATTTGCAAGAAGTGGTTTTGTAATGGGCGCGGCAACACGTCGGGAAGCCACATCATTAATCACTTGGTGCGCGCCAAGCACAAGGAGGTCACCCTACATAAGGACGGACCTCTGGGTGAGACCGTTCTCGAGTGTTACAGTTGTGGGGTGAGAAACGTGTTCGTGTTGGGTTTTATACCGGCCAAGGCAGACTCGGTGGTGGTGTTGCTTTGCCGACAACCCTGCGCTGCCCAGAATTCGCTCAAGGACATGAACTGGGAACAGGACCAGTGGAAGCCGCTCATAGCGGATCGTTGCTTCCTTACGTGGCTCGTAAAGATACCGTCTGAACAAGAACAACTGCGAGCACGCCAGATAACTGCACAACAGATCAACAAACTTGAGGAGCTGTGGAAAGAGAATGTGGACGCCACTTTTCAGGATTTGGAAAAGCCTGGGGTAGACGAAGAACCTCAGCAAGTTTTGTTGAGGTATGAAGACGGTTACCAGTATCAGAATATTTTTGGACCGCTGGTTAAGCTCGAGGCGGATTATGACAAGAGGCTGAAGGAGTCCCAGACCCAGGAAAATATCGAAGTCAGGTGGGATGTCGGGCTGAACAAGAAGACCATCGCTTATTTTACATTGGCGAAAACCGACGGGGATATGAAGCTGATGCATGGAGATGAGCTTAGACTACGGTAGGATGATGTCTCCTTTATCATAACGGAGTAAGAAAGAAAATGTAAAATCCAAATGATTGAGAAAAAATTGTTTGGAAAAACTCCAAGAATCAAATATCTGCTAAATTTATTAATTTAATTTCATAGGGCCAATAAAATAAAAAAAGATTTTGCTAGAATCTTAATAGGTAAATATTTTACAAAAAATAAAAAAAATTAGTCACTCAGAGTTGCTCATATAGGTATTAGAGATGCCTCGCCTAATGCTGATATTATGGGAACTTATTAGGGAACTTATGAGTATTAGTATTTGTCAAAAAGGTATACTGCCAAACTTTAATAGGTTTTATTTTACAACAAGACATATGTTGATACAGAGTGACCAGCTAAAAAACAAAACAAATGTGCGCCACTAATTTTTTTAATTAACTATATACATTTTTATTTCTTGAACTTTCATACTGGCTCCATTCACCTATGAAAATCGCTGCAAAACCACTTTCTAGATCTTTTTTTGTTTTTGTAAAATTCTTTTTTTAAGCCTCTCTATATTGTCAACCCTTTGCTCTCAAACGGGTTGCATTAAAAGGATTTCCAATGGCTTTTAAATTAGGATCATTTTATGCTATATTGTTATTTATTGTTGCAGATACGTGGGCGAAATGCACAAGTCGTGGGCGGGAGTGGGCCACGTCATCAAGGTAAGTAACGACCCCATCCAACGGGGCGAGCTCTACACTGACCTCGTTTTAGGTGCCCGATAACTACGGCGAGGATATCGGGATAGAGCTGAAAAATGGGGCGGGTGCGCCTACCGACTGCAATAGTAACTTCGTCGTCGATTTCATATGGAAGAGCACCAGCTTCGATCGGTAATCGACCGTACAAATTCAAATTAAAAGTGATAATTTTTGTGGTAAAACGCGATTGCAGGATGCAGCTCGCTCTGCGCAAGTTCGCGGTCGACGACGCCTCCGTCTCCGCGTACATCTATCACCGTCTCCTCGGCCACGAGGTCGAAGAGGTGCTGTTCCGATGCCACCTCCCCAAACATTTCTCCGCCCCCAACCTTCCCGACCTGAACCGTTCCCAGGTGTACGCAGTCAAGCATGCGCTCCAGCGGCCCCTCTCCCTGATCCAGGGTCCGCCGGGCACCGGTAAAACGGTCACTTCCGCGACCATAGTCTACCAGTTGGTCAAGCAGAACGGTGGACCGGTGCTGGTGTGCGCTCCTAGCAACACCGCCGTCGATCAGCTTACCGAGAAGATCCACAAGACCGACCTGAAGGTGGTGCGTCTGTGCGCGAAATCGCGCGAGGCAATCGATTCGCCGGTTAGTTTCCTCGCTCTGCACAATCAGATCCGCAAAATGGAAGGCAACACCGAGCTGCAGAAGCTCCAGCAGCTGAAGGACGAGACGGGCGAGTTGTCGTCGGTCGACGAGAAGCGGTACCGCATGCTAAAAAAACTCGCGGAGAAGGAGCTGCTCGAAGCGGCGGACGTGATATGCTGCACATGCGTGGGGGCCGGCGATCCGCGACTTGTCCGCCTTAAATTCCACTCGATTTTGATCGACGAGAGTATGCAGGTTTGTAAAATCTGGTCCTGCGAGCCGGAGGGCTAAATTTCGTCTTATCGACTTTACTTTCTTTCTCTCGCGTGCCCTATTTATTTTAATAGCTTAAGCCGGGTCCAGACTGAACCTCGTAACATAACACCCTTGCGAACCAAGGAAGTGTTCGGCTCAATAGCTGCTGCGGCAAACAAGGCCCACCAGCCAAAACTCGAAACCCACGCAACGACAACGATACGTTGTTTCTACCAACTTATCTGAATTCCGCATCCCAAAGAAATACCGTGAAATTTGCACGTCTATAACCTCGAGACTGTTCTGCTTGCCATCTAACAACACGCATGAACTGCAGACTTTAGATAAACCGGTTTATAGATCATTTCAACATCAGTAGGACCAAAATGTTCCCAGGTTTTGGTTGGGTTAGACACTTCCAGATCGTCGTTCGAACAAATCTCGTTTTGGCAAAACACTGTCCAAAGTTTGGCCCAGAGAACATCTTAAGCGGTTTTCGAGCAGCAGTCTTGTATCCACTTGATCCTACTATAATCACTAGCAACTGAACGTCGTTACGCTGAGGAATATGATGAAAACAATGTTAATGCTAATAATGTTAAACAACGATACTGAGACAAAATGATCACATATAAGACACAGACACAAGAAGAATGTGAAGATCTTAAAAATTGCTCGAGTTTTCGTCCAGACGCTGTAACATCGACGCGTGTCATTATTTCGAAGGTTCCTTTGATGGTTCGCCACTTTTTAATACAGGGGTACTTCTAGGAACGAATTGAACTTGCGTTTTAGACCTGCAAGCTATATTTTTTTCTTGACCCTTTAAATTTTCTTCTGCAGAGTCATAGTTATTTTTGTAGCTGAAGAGGTTCTTCTAGGACTGATGCGTCTCACTTTCGCGATATATATATTTTTTTGGTTTGGTCTTGCGAGCTGGAGGTCCCGCTTTGACTTCTTGCGTTCTTATTTTCTTTCAGGCGACTGAGCCGGAGTGCATGGTGCCGGTGGTGCTCGGAGTAAAACAGCTGATTTTGGTGGGCGACCACTGCCAACTAGGCCCGGTGGTGATGTGCAAAAAGGCGGCGCGTGCGGGCCTGTCTCAGTCGCTGTTCGAGCGGCTCGTCGTATTGGGCATCAGGCCTTTCCGCCTAGAGGTGCAGTACCGCATGCACCCCGAACTATCTCGATTCCCGTCGAATTTCTTCTACGAGGGCAGTCTGCAAAACGGGGTGGGATCGGAGGAGCGAAAACTGGCCAAGATCGAGTTTCCTTGGCCCATCACCGACCGTCCGATGTTCTTCCTGGTAACCCAGGGCCAGGAGGAGATAGCGGGCAGCGGTACCAGCTACCTGAACCGCACCGAGGCGAGCAACGTCGAAAAAATAGCTACGCGGTTTTTGCGCGCGGGCGTCAAACCCGAGCAGATAGGGGTGATCACGCCGTATGAAGGCCAGCGCGCGTATCTCGTGCAATATATGCAGTACCAGGGCTCGTTACACAGCAAACTCTACCAGGAGATCGAGATCGCGAGCGTGGACGCGTTCCAGGGTCGCGAAAAAGACATCATCATCATGTCGTGCGTGCGCAGCAACGAGCACCAGGGTATCGGGTTCCTAAACGACCCCCGACGCCTCAACGTCGCCCTCACCCGCGCCAAATACGGCATCATCATCGTCGGTAACCCGAAGGTGTTGTCCAAGCAGCCGCTCTGGAACCACCTGTTGTCGTTTTACAAGGAGCAAAAGGTGCTGGTCGAGGGCCCGCTGACCAACATGAAGGAGTCGCTCATTCAGTTCGCGAAACCGAAGAAGCTGACCAACGCGGAGAACCCGGGATCGCACTTTATGTCGACGTCGATGTTCGACGCGCGCGAAGCCATGGTACCGGGTTCCGTTTATGACAGAACCGGGTCGGTGATGAACGGTGGCACGGGAGGACCGTTCGGTAACGCTTTCCAGCCGAACCACCGGCCGGTCGCGATGGACATGTTCGGACGTACTCACGACCCGATCGGTTACATCGCGCCGGAACGCGCGCAGGCCGGTCTCAACTTGCCCGTGCCGGTCGGCATGTTTATGAATATGGCGCACATCCCGCCCCGCTTCTATAACCAGCATCAGCAGGCGTTGCAGGCGCGACAGCAGCAGCAGCAGAACCCGCGCGTCTCCCGCAAGATGCCGCCCCGTCAGAAGGGTAAGGGTGATATAATTTTTTTCTGTACCATGTAATAGGTTAGATCATGGAAGCTTATGATGATAGCATAAACCATTACCTTCTTTTGAGTAATCGCAACTTATAGATAGGTTACAGAGGGACCAGAACGGTGACTATTTCTTAGACTCTTGTCAAGTACTGTATGGAATGTCACAGAGATCTGGGTGTATTATTTTTTATACACGCTAATGACCCACAATTTTGTTAATTTAAAAAAAAATATTTTCATCGGTCTCATTAAGCAATGAATAAAGACTCCCTCAGAAAAATATGCGCTAAATATAAATTCCAACAAATCTAAACTATAGTGAACCTTTAAGTTCTGTGATTCTGATCATGCCAAAAACCTGATGAAAAAGTCATATATTTCTAATAATAATAATAAATGTTGATTTTTTGCACTTTGTATACATTTATTATACATTTATCTATCATAAATAAACTAAAACCACATCGCAAAAAAAGGAACTGGGAAACAATTAAAAAAAAAAAACTATAGTATCGTATTAATAGGAATCTACTTCGGCTAATCTTTGACTAATAAGAAAAGTTCTATAATTTTTTCTAAAAGATGTGGGCATCAATTTTTTTACGTTATTGGGAACAACATTATACCATTTGTAGGAAAATGTTTCAAACAATACATTACGATAGGGGGGAGAAGAAATAAGAAATTTCAAAGTGTGGACAGTAGTTCGGTATTTTATTTTTTTAAAGAGATATGGAGGGCAGATATTTAAAATTATATTATGGTAAAAAACGACTGCATGAAACTGTCGACGTATTTCCATTGATAGCCACACGGAATAGTAACATTATTTGACCATCCTTCACATATATCTAAATGATTTATTATTTTTTCTAGTTTTTTTGAAAATAGGGGTAAGATGCTTATAGGTCCTAATTCGTCCATTGTTGTGATACTCTCATTTAGGTAATGGAAGAACCTTAGAAATTTTCCAAGTCTTAGCAAATATTGATTTGATAATGCTATTGACTATATTCGTGATAAAAGGAAGTATTCTGTCAAGACGCAGAAGTATCATTTCCAAGTTGAATTTATCGCAAGAGATTTAATTTCTCGAATATGTCTCTCTTAACATTGTTGTCTGTTACTGTGGAAAAACCAAGTAATATATTTAACTCTTTTAAAATTTATTTTAATTTTACTTAACTTTTTTTTTTAATATAATTATTTAGTAAATTCTTATTAGATGGACATCCAGTACCGAAGTTCTTAATGAAATTAAATCAATCAATTTTGTTATGTTATGTATATGTCTCTCAAAGAAATTTACTTTAATAGGCATATATTTTAAGTTTTAAACTTTGTCTTTGGGCCTTTCTAATTTCAACGGTTAAACATGCCACTACCTCCTTCCTATTGCTAAACTGATTAACAAATGAGTGAAAATTATACGTAAATGTTTGCCTAAAAAAAACACTCTCTCCAGAAAGGGGCTCTCTATTATTTTAAAGCAATAGGTCACTGTGACTTCTATAGAAAAAATCTTATACAGCTGTTAAGAGGAACATTTTTTGAATGTGGGTCTAGGTAAGGGCGGGCTGAGTCAAGACCAGACGCAACCGTTCAGCCAGAGCCTGCAGCTAACGCAGGGCGGCATGTCCCAGCCCGGGCTCTCCCAGCCCGGGTTCAGCTTGTCGCAGCCCGGCCTGTCGCAGGCGGAACTCAGCCAGGACCTGTACATGGCCGAGTACCAGTCGCAGATGGACGGGCTACTCTCGCAGGATTCGACATACCAGGGCGATCGGTACGTTTAAACTACTCAGCGCTTGTTAGGTGCGAGTAAACAACGGGGGTGGGTGCTCGCGTTTCAGGTCGGCGTTTTATCAGCCCAGCGCGCAGTTTTCGCAGCCATACTGATTGGAAGATGAACCGGGGGCGGCAGCGGCAGCACCCGCAGACGCGGAAGCGGCTCAGTAAGAAATTAATAGAGAGAGCGAGAAAGAGAGAGAGCAAGATCGATGCGTAGTACTGCGTAATACCACCGCTACCGCACTTACACACAAAACCAAAAAACAAATTCGAAAGTGATCGAGATTCGACCTGCCTGTCAAATTGCCAGTTAACAACATCAACGAGAAACGATCGAACCGAGATGTCCAAGAGAAGAACGTTGTTGGGGGAGACGAACGCGCGAGCGGAATGCCAGGGGGCGCCGCGCACGCGAGACCCACTCGGGGCTGTTTTCGTTTAAGCTTCCATTTTTTTTTTGTTTAGGGTGTCCGGGAATAGGGAGCCTGAGCTCCCTTATTACACAATAAACTCAGTAGTTTATAGTATATTTTCTATTACTTCTTACGTTATGACCATGCTAATTGGGCGCTAACTCTTATTTCGTTACTTTTTCATTTATTCGAAATTTTTACGTTTTTCTGCCATGCTGCGTTTTCTTTTATTTGCGGTAACACTTATTAATTAATAAAAAGTATATAACGCTTTGTTCTTTTCATTTTCCACTCTCCCCGCCTGCCAATTTGCTCCCATTCGAGAAAAAAAGCCAACTAAACCTTGAAAATTGGAATAGACCTCGAAATCAATTTTGGAACACTGTTGAGATTTATGAAGACTCATAAATTTGTATTTGAGTATGGTATGATATATTTTTTACTAATTTTATTTTGATAAACTCCACTAAGATTTTTTTTTACTGTGTTCAATCCTTTTATTCTAAACAATAAAAACTTCATACCTAAAATTTCATGGAAAAATATTAATCTAATCTGAAAAACTTCTGCATAACCTGAACAAGAAATTAAAGTTTTGGGCACTTCCAGTACATTTTATTAGAGTCTTTCTCCCGCAACTCAAAACAACACACTGCCAGTGCCATATACGGTGTTGGACAACAATATCATGGTTATTATCAGCTGCGATTGTTCATTGTCCTTTTTCCGGTATTATTTCGAAATAACTTTTGACAAGTTTACAAACCAATGTTTGTGAGAGACAGTGGTGAAAATTTCACATAAACACGTTTTGTTGTTGTCACAAGGATTACTATTTCTATTAAATAAAAATCGACGTTAAGAGTTTTGGTTAAATCTGAGATGGTTTTACAATCCTAAACTTTTCATAATTCTAGTCGTAACCTTAGGGGCTGTGGATACATTAAATGCGACTGTGCCTGAGTGTGTTTAGCATTGTACCTTTGGTACTTACTATCTCATGTTTCAATAGATTGTTTTCATCCGATGGATGTACGAATTCAAAAAAAGTAAATAATCCAAAACACATAAGTATCGTGGCGCACCATCTATGATGACAAGTTTTCCATGCACATTTAACACAAATAATTATATTTCAAAATTTCGGCTCTCTGAACTAAGCGACATCTAACCAGAAAATAATACTGACCAAAATATGAAAATTGTTAGTAGTTGTTTGCGACGCAATAACCATGGAATACTTTCCGTTTGTTATATTCCGGAATAATTCTAATTGTTAAACGCAAATTGGCCTGTTACTCAACGTTCTGATCATTTAAACAATTTTGATCCTTTGTTACCGAAAATATCAGATAAATTAATTAAATTAAATATTTTCGTGACGCCATCTTGAGCTTAACACCTCAACAGAAAAAAAGTGCAAAAAAAACTTACCAGGACTGAAGCAATCACCTCTCTCTCTTCCTTACACGACACGCGGGCAAGGTGGCGTAATCCGCCGAGCACTGATTTTTAGATTCCGCCTTTGCACAGGAGAACAGGACACAAAAGAGAGTCTCGAATCGAAAGGCACATACATTTCTCACGCTTCTCGAATTCTTTTTAAATGCCTCTCAGAAGGCTCTGACAACAGGGCGACAGCAAGAGCAGGAGATGTAAAAACGAAGTATATGCAACTCAATATACAACGGTAGAAAATTATTTCAATTTTCACCCGAACGCAAGGGCGCACCAATTTTGTCGCTCAGGTAAATGTCATTAATAAAGTCCATGCTTATCATTAAATAAATATCATTCCATAAATAAACTTTAATTATTAAGAAAAAAGTTCCCGAGGCTGTTTCAGTTCGCCAATGGATCGCGCCACCTACGCACCTAACGTGTAATTGAATTGTTTCAATTAATCCAGTTATCAAAATTAAAGTGGAGCTTCGGTTCGTGTTTTTCACATCTAAGAAGCCGAATTAGATATTGCACTTGCACTGCTTGACGACACGGCGCGACAGGAACGCAGCAATAAGAGCGGTAAAAACGCGAACGTCAACGGGATGCTCACCGCAGACCTTGTAAATATTTAGTAGAGGTATGTGGAATGTCACAGATTCCGATTCTGCCTTCAATAATTCGGAGCACGTTTGCGAGCCGATTGGAATTTTCAAATTCTTAAAATGATTGGCAAATGACGGACTTAATGGGAGAACATAAAATCGAAGAAGTATGCGTAATCGCCTTGCGTGCAGCAACCAACACATCATCACTGCTTTTTGCTTTTCTTTGTTCTGTGGCATACGAATTCTTTGGTTAGCGGTCAAATTTACAGGCACGCGGAAGCCCATTGCCATCTCCACGAAAATATCACAATTATTTGCTTTTAAATGAATCATGTATATTGTTAGTTTAGACCAGTCACTAAGATATGTGCTCATTATTTTCAGAAGTTTGATTTTCTTTGCCATTTTACTCTTCTGTCTGTTCTATTCTTTTTTCTACTCCCGTCTCTAAAATACCTAATTACCCATCGACCTAGTGTGCGGGAAGCGCCACTTTATCACGTCAGTTTCGTTTACCATGATTCCGAGGCGCTTCGGGATTTTACCATACGGATGTGGGAGCAATCGGATGTTTTCGCAAATATTTCCCACGCTTTGAATTTTGACGTTTGTCAATTCTGACGGTCATGTCAGTGAATGTATTCGTGTTGTTTTGCGAAAATGTACCCACCCAAAAACTAAGGGTCAGAAAAAGTATAGTATGCAACACGTTCGATAAACTTTTTAAGTCACTCGTTTATTAAAAACTCGCTCCGCTGCTCTTCGCTCGTGTCAAATAAACTCGTGAGTCAAATGCCGTTTACCGCACTTGTTGCATAATATACTATTGTTATTTATAAATATGCCAGTGCGACTCTTAGTTGGTAAGGCGTTAAATTTACCTTTAATAATCATACATTTTGTTTTTTCTATATTCATATATTTGCATCAGCCACTTATACAAAACTTCCATTTCCTCATTCAGGATTTGTACTACCTTATTAACACTATCTCCCATTAAATACAACAAGGCAAAGGCAAATAGTTGAACTTTACACTTTTTCCAATGTCGTACAATGTCGTCTATATAGACAATGGAAAGATTCGGTCCCCCTACTGGGTACAGCAACTTGATTTTCTTTTTTCATTGATGTATAATCAAGAAGCCTTGTTTCCTGAGTAAGGTTTGATAGATAGTTTTCAAACCATTTCAGCACCAGATCGTGAACACCATATTTTTTTGTTAACAGATGTTGTGTTTTAAATTTACAAAGGTCAAATAAACGTTGTCATACTGATCAAAACCGGAGAGAGTTCCAAGAATGGGTTTTGCCAGAAATTACCAACATTGGAGTTGATGATCTGCGCGAACGTGGTTTGGCGAAGAGCAGGAAAGAAATTTGCAAGTCGCAATACCTGTTTTGGGAGGGAGTATGTTTCAACTGGCGCGCAAAGTTACTGCTCACGTGGCTAGACAAGTTATAAACTACATGAACTCTGTAGCTATTGAATTGATGAAGTGGCCACCTCACTGTCCCGATTTAAATCCCACAGAGCGTCTACCCACCGGTTAACCACAATCAATTGGTGAATGCAGTAATAACAGAACCAGTATGCCACGGCGTATGAGTACAGTGATTCAAAGTAAAACTGGGTATATACACTATTAACATTATAATATCCATAAATTTTTTTGTTTTTGATTTTTTTTTGGTTTCACATTTCTCTCGTTTCCAAAAAGTATTGTCTTTAATAAACTTACATGTAATCTTAAATTTGTAGTTATTTTATTTTAAAAAAGTAACTCGTCAATTTTGTTTTCATTTATCAAATCGATCAGACATTATACAGACAACTAATAATGTATCCGATATTGATACGTCGTTTGAAATGTCGGAAAAATTCGATAGCTTATACTTGAAATCATTTAGCAATGAATGTATTGAATCATAAAATCTATAAAAACATGTTAGGCTATAAAATGGTGGATATTCTTCAATAAAAGACCTAATGAAGCAAACTAAAAAAAAAGTTGGCCAAAGATGGAGCTACCTTCTAATGTTTCCGTTGCTAGTATACCACGCATTTTTGGAAAAACAATATTTTTATTACACCCCGTATAAATCGAAAATGAACATTTTATCATATCAGCGAAAACTATGAAATTATAATGCAAAAAAAATATTCAAGTCGGATCATAAATTCAGAAAAAAATAGCATAAAAAAAGTCTCAAGTTTATGATGTTGCTTGCATTAATTTTGTCCAGGAGTTTATATACCGGGTGACACAAGAAAGTGGTAACACTCTATAACTTTCAAACGGTTTGAGATAGCGATCCGAAATAGGCTGAATGTCCAATTTTTTGACAATATGTAGTAAATATTTGCAGTTCCGGTTTGAGCGGAAATAACAGTAACTTTCGAATTTTAAATGGCAGAACCTATATTTTTTTGCATTTTTGGATTCAGGATAGGACGGTTTTTCTCTTTTTTTTTTGTTTTTTTAAATTTCTATTTAATTTTTGAAAATTGTGCCTAGGAGGCTGTGACTATCGTAAATACTATTTACCGGGTCACCTGATCAAGAGAAAAATTGTAAAATGAAACTTTTCTTTACTTATCAAATGGCAAATAGCATTTGCAATTATTTTTTAGGATAACATAGTTTTCTCAAATATTGGGAACAAAAACTTTTCAAAACCGGTACTTTTTTTACATTTTTTTTTTACAATTTTCAAAATAAAAATAAGCTCACAGGAAGGAAAAAAAAACAAATAAGTAAATACATTTTTATAAAATCAAAATAGGTATTAGTTAAGTGGCTTTGCTTCTATTGATCATCAAGTCGGCGTGATTGAAAATTCTGAAATGTACAAATTTTATAATAAATGTTAGGAAGGGTTACGGCGGATGTAATTTTTACAGCCAAGGAGTGTCATATACAAGGAGGACCTTTTGAAAACATTCTATGAAAGTTTCATCTTAAAATATATTGGTTATTAAGTAAATAATTCAAATAAATATAAAACTCCAGTTCCAAAATAAATGAATGTGATGTTTTGTGTCAATGTAAAACTTGTCTTACAAGTAACACACGTTGATATGGTACTTTCAAATCGATTCTACCGACACTGTTGAGGTTTCATTTTCTAACAGATTTTCAAAATATTGTGTTGAATTATCCGAAAAAGTGACAGATTTGAGGATAAAAAAATATTTCAAAACTTTTGTTCTTAGTTTCCGATGAAAAGTGCTTGTAGCTTATGACGTATGTATACACACAATACTTACGTTAGTTTTTCACTGTATCCCCGTAAACCAAATGCATATCAACTTTGTACCATAATAAAACACGTTGAACAAAAAATTCTAATCGTGGAATCTGAGAAGAAACTCTCCCTTGAATTTTATTATTTTTTTAATACTAATTTGTTTTTTCTCTTTCCACTGTATCAACTTGTCGACAGTTTCTTCTGCATTTTTACCGACTTGACAGTTAATAATGAATAGGAGGAAAGCCACCTAAGTGATATTTTGTTTTTATAAAAATGTATTTACTTATCAGCTTTTTTATTTTTTAACGGATTTTGAAAATTTTGGTGATAAAATGATACAAAACGCTTTATCCTACAAAATTTAAAATTTAAAAAAGTTAAAATTTTTCCCATGATCAGGTGACCAGGTAGTATTTCTGATGGTCAGGGCCTCCCAGACACAATTTTCAAAAATTAAGTAAAAATTAAAAAAAGAGAGAAAAACCGTTCTATCCTACGTAGAATGATCTTCTGAATCCAAAAATGCAAAAAAATGTCTCATTTAAAATTCGAAAGTTACTGTCTTTTCTGCTCAAACCGGAAGTGGAACCATTGACTATATATTGTCAAAAAATTGGACATTCAGCCTATAATATAGTGTTCCCATTTTCTTGCGTCACCCGGTATATAACCATATAGCGACAGGCTTTTTGTTGCACAGTATCGTAGTGGTCGTGTTGATTAGTTGTAAAGTTATATTTTAGGAATGAGCACAAAATACTTTTGAATATCCTTTATTGAATTTATTTATTACATCTTAAATAGTCGACAGGGTTTAAAATCAATCAAACCGAACCGACTTTACAAACGGAAAATCGACGGCAAAAAACATTTCGACGGTCAGAAAAAAGAAACTGACGAAATATTGGTAAATGTAAATAACTTATCCACGAATATTACTTTTATTGTTTAGGATTATTGTATTCGATTTTTAAATATTGTCTATAAATATTACACGATAGATCTTCTGAATAAATACTAAGCTATAATCTCTTTTTTTTGTTTTTTTTTTTAATTTTTGGCACCGAGTGACTATTTTCATGTCCGGAAAAAGTGAGCCCAGTGATTTGAGATCCGTAATATCAAAAAGTTACCACACCCCCGTTCGGTATACAAAAAATAACCTATAAAAAGTACTTTTACATTATTGTTTTATCATTATTATCCCAACATTACACAGTGACAACGCTTCTTAAGAGAGAAATAACATTATCATATAATTTTTTTTGGATTTTCGACGTTTTTGCGCATTTTTTTTTAGATTTTTCTCCTTGGATCGCTTAAATTCAACCTTACCGTAAATACATTACAATCAATATAATCTATACATTTTTTTTAAATTTTCAACGAAAAACAATTAACAAAGTGTGTCGTTGCAAAAACTATCGAAAATAAGGCTTAAGTATTATTACAGGGCGCCATCCGGCACGCCCCCCAATGATATGTATGAGTTCTGACGGGTTTTCAACGCTAGAAAAACCCCCTTTAAGCGTATCGATGACATTGTTTCCCGGGGCCGAGACCACGCCCCGACAGTCCGAATAGGACCCGCGCAAATGCGAAATAAATAATACTGTCTCTCGTTTCCTCTGCTCTTCCCAAGCGAATTTTTACAAATACGTCGCTCGGAAGGGACTCAAGCCAACGAACAACATCGCACACAACCACACACACATATACGCACACACATACAAATAAGACCAAAGACGGGGCCAACCTCCTTCGACGAAAGGGAATGCAGGCTGGCTCCGACGGCGCCCCCCCCCCCCAACCCCCCAAATTTGTACCTTACTCCCATCATCTACGTCTCGTGGGCGGTCGAAGGGGAAGAACCCCGTCCAGACTCCTGGTGGCGATCAGTGCCTCATACGAGCCCGTTATGGTGTCCTTGATGTGGCGAAACGCTGCAATGTCGTAGACGGAACGTGCGGTATTACTGAAATCGAACGGCTCCTCGATGCCCATATACTTCCACTGATGAGGGTCGTTTTTGGGGGCTCGGTTATTTTTGCAGTCGTCTACGGGCAGGCGGGTACCGGCCCGTACCGATATGGCGTACCGAGCGAAGTCGAACGTCGAGTAGTACTTGAAGAAACCGATGAGGAGGTCGGCGAGACAAGAGTCGTTTTGCGAGCGAAACTCGCTGAACGTGTTGAGATCTTCGTGCACGTGGGGAATGCGATTCTTCGCCGCTCCACCGAACAGTTCCGGGTGAAGGGTGTGAAGGCACGGCAGTACCGGCGGCGAGACCCCACCTACCAAGTAGTTCGTTTGTCCCGTTAGTTTAGGGGGCAAATTCTATTCATTTAGCCAAAGTTTGGGTTGTTGTTAACAAGAAACCTAAATTTTTTTACTACTAGTCGCTTCAATTGTTTGAAAATCAGTTTCCTTAAAAAAAATCAAAGATCTATTGCTTAATTACAGTTTCTAAGCCTTAAGAGAATATTTTGATTGTGACGTAGTTCATTTGTTGGATATAATAAAATCCTAAATGCTATTAGGAAAATCAAACAAGAAACTGCTGGTCCTATTTTTTAAGCTGCTGTCTTAATTTAAGAGTAATACAAACGCGAAATCCACAATAGTTTAATTACAATGGAAAATGTAAATACAAATTTATGATAAGAATTATACTTCGTTTTTTTTTTCCGTGAATGTACTGAGTTTTGAGCTATGATGTTGTCAGAAGAGATAATGCCACAAAAAATGACTGCCTTAAGGGGTCTAGGCATTCCTGTCGGCAACTTTTCAAGGAAGCCATAAATTATATTCATTTAGCCAAAGTTTTGGTTGTTGTTATAAAAAAAATTAAAGTTTTTAACTACTAGTCGCTTCAATTGTTTGAAAAACAGTTTGTTAAAAAAAAATCAAAGATCTATTGCTTAATTACAGTTTCTAAGCCTTAAGAGAATATTTTCATTGTGACGTAGTTCATTTGTCCCGGATAGTTGGATATAATAAAATCCTAAATGCTATTAGGAAAATCAAACAAGAAACTGCTGGTCCTATTTTTTAAGCTGCTGTCTTTATTTAAGAGTAATACGAACGCGAAATCTACAATAGTTTAATTATAATGGAAAATGTAAATACAAATTTATGATAAGAATTATACTACGTTTTTTTTCGTGAATGTAATGAGTTTTGAGCTAAGATGTTGTCAGAAAAGATAATGCCACAAAAATGACTGCCTTAAGGGGTCTAGGGATTCCTGTCGGCAATTTTTCAAGGAAGCCGTAAATTATATTCATTTAGTCAAAGTTTTGGTTGTGGTTATAAAGAAAATTAAAGTTTTTAACTACTAGTCGCTTCAATTGGTTGAAAAACAGTTTGTTTAAAAAAAATCAAAGATCTATTGCTTAATTCATTTCCAAACATTAAGAAAATATTTTGATTGTGATTTACAGTAATGTTATTTAATATGTCCAAGGTATTATTTGTAGATACTGATTTCTATGTTTTTTTCATATATACCTTACTCTAGATGTATTCTTTTTTAAATTCCTTATAATTATATAGTAAATCGTGACGAACCAGATGGTCAATAAGAAATCCATAAAATTTATATTTGGGGACCACTCTCTATATAACTACAATTTTGTAACCCACTAACGAGGAAATTGATTAATAAAAAAAATTGAAATACAAGGAAACTTAATTATTTTTGTAAAAAACTTTTTAGAACACCTAATGGAAATCACACGATTACCAACTCAACACTACTTTGAAAGTAGTTTTTCTCTTAAATAAAAACCCTTACATTGCAAATAATGGATCATCATCAGCGTCCAAGAATAACTCGACACGGTCAGGTTCTTTGCGTCGTTGATTCCATTGGCTTTGGCCCACAGTTTGATGACGACGACCAGAGGTCTGATGCGCCAATCTAGACGCGCGTAACAGTACAACAGGTGGGTGTTGTGTATGCCCACCGAATTGTTGCAATTAAGATCAATCTCGAACCCGGTCGACTCGTCCCGGAACTTCAGGATGGGCACCTTGGCTAAGATCAGTTCCGGGTCGATGGTTAGGCCTGCAACAACAACTTGCAAGGAGTTTGTGGGGGACGGGGGGCGACCCCCACCACCTTACCTACCGTAGTACTTTATGAGGTGGAGCCGGATGTTGTTCAGGTGCTGAAGAGAGTCGAAACGCGGATTCTCAGTGCAGGGACGTATCAGGAGGCACATGTCCACGTCGCTGGTGTCCAGGCCGAAACCGGTCATGGTTGAGCCCACGATGTAGAGCGAATAGTGGCTCACGCACCTCTAAAAATCGCCAGTGTCCACGACCGCAAACACATACCTCCCCCGCCACACCCTTACCCTGATGTACAAGAACAAGTCCTTCCAGAACAGTATCTTGTTCTCGTAGGTTTCGATTTTTTGCGCTTTGCTGATAAACAGGTCCCACATCTCACGGTTCAGCTCGTCCAGCGGGCTCCCGCTCAGCAGTTGCTCCGGATTCGGGTCTATCTTCATGACCTCCGATTTAGACTTGAAGCGGAGAGAGAGGCCGTAAGCTCTGCGTACCATTACGTCGGTATCGTTCAAGTAGGACGTGGCATTCTGGTGTCGTTTTCGATTGTTCCCGATTTTGTTCAAGTTACCGCCCGTTTGTGCACCGTTGGACGTGTTAGACCTAGAAAATTTAATTAACCTAAACTTGAATATATGCAAAAGCGCAAGGTGGTGTATTTTAAAAGCAAAACTCATGCATAATCTTTGAAAAGCTATATATCATATGATTTATAATAGAATCCGTTAGAGTCGTATAAATATCATTTTAACTTCAACATAAACAAATCAGTCCTTGCAGCAAAACCGGCAGGGGCAAAACCATTAGGCAACTCTTCAGGGTCAGGAAAACCATGGCAAATGATAATATTGTAAAAAGTAACCCTCTATACTTACCTAGTATTCCTGTTAAATATGCAGAGAGAGTACATTTGGACCAAAACTAGTATAATTTTTAATTTTGAATAATAGCAAAAACAGGCCCATTATCAGGATTATTTTATCGTAATGAACATTTTAAACTTTGAATTTGACAATCTTGAAGTGTGTGAGTACTGCTGCATCATCAGTTGATTTGATAAAAATGGCAGAGAAGCACCACCTCTGTGCTGTTCCCAAAGAAATTCGCAAGACAGGAACAAAAAAGAACATGCAGTACCAGCAAAAAAAAAAACACACACATGCCAAAACAAAAATGGGACGTCACAGACAGACTTGTTTAGTTACCTAAGCTTGTTGAAATTTCTGTTGTAGTTATTGCGAAAAGTCTTACTGTTATCTTGGTACTGCAAATTATTCAATGTCTGCTGATAATCTGCACGATTGTCGTAAATCGACACCTCCCGGGAGAGGTGATTGATTTTGCTAAACATGATCGCCGGATTTAGTTGTGAAAATCCATTGTGCACATCATAATTTACCCCTATAACACCGAATTCCTTTACGGTTACCAATACCAGATGGTTTGCGGACCTAGGCTAGTCTTACCTGGATCCGAGGCAACTCTGAAGCACTGGAAGTAACTATCGTCGTCGTCGAATTCCTTGGGCGAAATGGGTTTGTATAAGCCTTTTACATCGTCTGGTGGTTGGAGGTGATCGTTCTCTTTTAAATACGGCGACGGCAGTAAGTTTATCGGTAAGCTCATTAAATCTTCGTTCAGTTCAGTCTGCGGGTCGCGGTTTTTCGTCGAAGAACGCATTGAGGGGCCGCGAGTGCTTATGGTATCAAAAAATATCGTTCTGTTCATTCTAGCGACTGACTACGTAATCCGGCGTTAAAATTCTAGTTTCAACGCTCGCGAATTCTCTTGGGGCACTCAAATTATCCGAATAAAAAAGTTACGAGTTCGGCAAGAAAAAAAATGACAGGTCTTGAGGTTAGGATTTTGAGCAGACAAAAAATGAAAGCGACAGACTAATTTTTATTACTTACTGGGTGTTTAGAATTTTGCATTATCGGGCGGCGCGCAATCAATCGCGAATCTTTACCAAAAACAATGCATTTTTCGCTAATATAGCGCCAATTTTTTTCTTGCAGAAATGCCACACTCCTACCAACCTACCGTTGGAAATCGCAGACCGTCGAAGCTTTCCTTTGCACAGACGCCGAAGTTTACGGCTTAACAAGGGGAGACGCATATTTTTGTGTGATAAATAAAGGACGATGCTGATTTATGTCAGATTACGAAGCATAAATGAAGATCTTTTATCTATGTTAACGGCTCATCATTAATGACAAATAGACTCCTTAAAATTGTTTACTGGTCTGTGTAATTACTGGACGTGTTAAACCATTAAATTCGTCTGCGTAATTGTGTCAGTTGCAGGTGTCAACTTGTCGGAAAATCATAAAAATGGAGAACTTGAGCCGCTTAAGCTCGCGGACGGGCGATATTTTAAACGACGCAGTCGATCAGTTGCAAATATACGGCTGGTACTTGTTTTTCGGATGCACTCTGTTGTATTTCATATATTCTAGATTCTTGAAACATCGTCTGAAGGCGGTTTTGGAAGCTTACGACGGCCACAAGAAAAGTCGTGAGGATAGGGAGTACAGCGCCAAATATCACAAAAGTGAAAACGCGTAAACGATTCGCTGTTGCCGTGTGAAAAAAAAAAACAATATTTCAGACTCGGATTTGTATGCTGCCCGAATCTCTGCGCAACAAAAGCACGCTCAAAAACTGCAAGAACAATACGACCAGCAAGCCAAGGAGTACCAGGAGAAGATGCAAATTGTAATAAATACGCTCTTTTATATGGATCCGTTTAATTATAATTTAATTTTATAGAGAGAAGATAAAAAACGCCAAGAGGCATTGGATAAATTGGAAGGGGGAAGTAGTGGGCGGAGACTGGGCGGCAAACAGGAAGCCAGGCCCAGAACTTTGAGACCAGGTGTGAGAAGCGGCTAAATCAGAAACTAAGGAGCCGGATTTGATTGGTCGCGCTTACCTGTTTTGTGGTGCCCATATAACTACTACCACCCACCAACTGATTTTTCATGTGGTCATAATTTTTCTGGAAAATTGATTCAGTCTCTGAAATCACCACAAAACTGGCAAAATACTAGCAGTCGATGCCATTATTTTTATGTTTGGTGATTATCTTCCTACCTTTTTGTATTTTTGTGACAAAAACGCCCACCAACTGGCAACTTTGTGTTTTCAGGGGAAAACTGTAAAGAAAAAGTATGTATCATATTTATTTTCAATAATTTGCTCTGATTTTTTTCAATAACGTTCTCCACTGGCTTTTTGCCTGAAGAATTTAATAGGATCTGGACATATTTTTGGAAAATACTGCTATAAAAATGCCAACGGTCTGTTACTTAATTAAATTAATTAGTTAAATACAGGTTTTATTGGTTAAAAGCAAAATTACATTACAATTACAAATTACAAAATTACAATTATTACAATTACAAAATTACAAAAACTGTTACCTAGAAAAAAAAGCCAAAATATAATTTATTTCATCAGATAAAATTGTAGGTATATACTTACTAAATTAATACTTAATAAGATTAAAAAACCTTGTAAAAAAATAGAGAAGAGAATTTGTTAAAAATAATTATAGTCTTGAAGAGGAAGCACATTGCACTACTAGGCAAAACTGGTTTCCGAATTTTTTTATTCACAGGTTGGTTAGGTTGAATTCCTAAATAAATCGTGTAAGTTGTCAATTACATCTAAATGACATTGGATTTTCAAAATTAAATTATCATCAAGGGTATTTTTATGCATATTATGCATCTGGTTCATTGTACTATATATTCAAAAATTTTTCCATTAAATTTCTATTAAATTGATGTCCCATTTTTTTTTCATTATGTACTATTTGTTTAAATTCCAGCAATTTATTTTCCTTAAAGCAAAAAATAACTGCATTGGATTGATATGTTTTAATAAAATATTTTTAGTCAGTAGTTCGCTTACCTTGCACCTAGGCAGGACCAATCAAATTGTGGTGTGTTGTACCAAGCTTATAATGATAAACGGCAATCTTTATTTTTTTGTAGATTACAACCCGTTAATGGGACCCGGCGGCTCAAACTACAGACCGCCCAAACGCGGTAAATGCGGCGGGGGAGGGTGCGGAAAATAGAACCAGTGGCGTGTATTCGTATTTAATAAAAAGAAATATATCAATTAAAAAAAGTCTTAAAGCAAACCCTGACGCTTGAGATCCTCGTAGGTCTTTCGGTTGACCACGTTGCCCTGCGAGTCCTCATACTCCTCTTCCGTTTCGGGTTGCCATCTCTCGCCCTGCTTCTGAACCTTAAGTTTCTCCCACACTGCAAAACAGAGGGGCAGACGGTTATGGGGTACTACTTTTTCAAAAATCGACGCTAGACTCACGGGCCAAAGCGTCCTCGATCTGTGTCACGTTCGCGAAGTGGGCGGTGTTGGGGATCCCCAGGCACCTCATGCCGTGGGCGTGTCTCCATTCAGCGAAATGTCGCTGAAACGCTTTTGGCCCCTTGTACACGTAATTGCCGCAGATCTCGCAATTGTAGCTTATGTTCAGCCCGTGCAGCTTGTACAGCCAGTACGGAATGGGCTAGAAGGAAAAAAGTGAACGAAACCGAAAATTAGGTTAGGTGTTTAAGAGTACTTTGCCGTCCCATCCCAGGGGCAAATTTTTCGGATTGTAGGGCACGTCGTCGTCGCCCTCGTCGGGACTTTCTTCCGCCGACTCCTCGTTCTCACTGTCATCCCTCTCTCCGTCAGTTCGGGCTTGCTTCCGCTGCACGTTCTCCTTGGTCGCCGCCCTTTGGGCACTTACGAGCTCCGCCAATCTGAAAAGAAGCCAACCGTGGTCTATGTATTTTTATTTCTGTCTCTTACTTATAAATCTGGGCCTCCAAACAGGCAAGCTCCCTCTGCCGGACGTGTTCTTTCTCCTTGCTTGCTTTTCCTTTTGTCGCCTTTGTCATCAACGAAGGATCCAATGAACTTTGGCCTTTGGTAGAGAATAGCCGCTGTGCTCTCTCTTCTAAAGTCCTAGAAGATATAGGGTTAGCCTTTGTTTTCCCAGCCACAGCTATAACACTTTACCCGCCACATTTAAGTCCTAACGCCATCAAGGCGGACTTCAGGCGATCCAAACCCAGGGAGGCCAATTCCTCCCAGCTGGAGAACGCCGACAGATCTAGATGGGCTCCCACATTGGTCAAAGCCGATCCGGTTTCTTTCTATGGCACGTACACACAGTTTTAATCACGATTCTGCAATGCGTGCATATAACTTACTGGCCATCCGGGACAAGTCCCCGCCTCCCATTGCTGCATTGCGTTTTTCGCCTCCTCCTCTAGCACCGCATCCAAATCCATCAGAGGTTTAATGCGTTGGACAAACCAACCCAGATATTCCATGAGGCAGAGGAGGTACTTTCGATACTCGCCCGATTTCCTTTCTTTTGGCACATCGTAAAGTTGATCAAACATTCCCAAATAGGTTATGTAATCAACTTTCTAAACAAATATTGATTGGGTCAACATTTATTTATTATGGCTCGAGAGAGCATTAAAAAAAATTATATATATATATATATATATATATATATATATATATATATATATATATATATATATATATATATATAATCTGACTGAATCGTCCTTAAGAGAAAACGTTAAGAATTTTTGGAAGTTCGTCAACAGTAAAAAGGAACGAAACTTTGCACTTTGGCGACGTGACCTGTTCTGTGGGTGACGATATTGTCAATTTATTTGCAGACTATTTTTCGAATATGTATAGTGACGCGGTCTGTTTCTCTGAAGATGTCAACCTCTCACACTTGAACATTTCGATTTCATCTATTTACGAGACTGTCGACTCCAGACAAAAACAAAGGATCCGGTCCCGATGGCCTCCCACCATATCTTATTAAGCAAAGCAGCTTCCTACTTTCCAGACCACTTTCTATAATTTTTAACCATTCTTTAAAAACCACTACCACTACCACGAACTCCGCCTGTGGTAGTGATGGGTGGATCGAGTAGCCCATCACTGCCATTGCCGGTCTCAAGCCCGGATAAAGGAGGAGGGTTGTGGCGTTAGGACTTAGCACCCTATCACACGTAAAACCCCAAATGGGAAAAGCTAGGACAAAAGGCAGAATGAAAATACAGAAACGGAAAAATGGTCCCCGGGTGGAAATCCACACCTTCGATGAAGGGAGCCCCATAGGATACGGGGGGGGCAATTCTGCTTTTGGTCAAACAGAAAACCCAAGCTTACATCTCAACCAAACCAAAACAAAAAACAGTAAAAACAGGAAACTAGTATGTGCCACCTGGAACATACAGGGTTGGCGAACAAAAGAAACAGAAGTCAGAGAGGAATTTAACAAAGGACAAATAAACATACTGGTAATGAGCGAAACAAAAAAGAAAGGACATGGCACAGAAGACATAGATGGGCACCTACACATGTGGAGCGGTTATTAATAAAGAAAACAGAGCTAAAGCTGGGTTTTCGGTACTTATCAACAAGAAATGGAAGAAAACCATTACATCATGGGAACCCATTAATGAACATATAATCACAGTACACCTGAAAATGTGCGGCAGATCAATAGTTTTATTAGGAGTATATGGACCAACAAACGACAGCCCCGCTACAGAAAAAATTTCATTCTTTGAAACTCTAAAGGAAGCAATTGAAAAAGTGAAAACTAAACAAGAAATAATAATAGCTGGGGACTTTAACGGAGGGACGGGAAATAAAGCACATAACAAAACAGTAGGCCAATTCGGGGAGGACACAATTAATGACAATGGTGAAAGATTCATTGAAATTTGCGAATTAAACGACTTAAAAATTACCAACGGCTTCTATAAACATAAAGACATCCACAAATACACCTGGATACAAGAAACTAGGAATCTAAGATCCATAATAGATTACATAGTTGTTAGGATAACTACAACAATTAAGATACAGGATGTAAGAGTTAAAAGAAGCGCTGAATGCGGAACCGATCATCGACTGGTAGTTGCGTACATGCACTTTCCTTGGTATGGAATAGCAAAGAAAAACAAAGAAGAGACAGCAAAACAAGAACAACAAAAAGACAACCAAAACAACCAGGAAATAAAAGAGAAAAGATTTAAAATTCACCTCCTAGAGGAAGAAACAATAAGAGATTTGTACAGACGTAGACTTGATGAAAAACTAATAGAGTTCAATTTTAATAATTTAACAGACACTTACGAACACGTGAAGAAGAGCATTAAAGAGGCAGCTTATGAAGCATTAGGAGAGGAAGACGGAAAGAACAAAAAATATACAGAAGAACTTAGTGAGGAAGCTATTGCAGCTATTCAGGAAAAAAAGCGCTTACACCAAAAATGGCTCTGTACAAATTCGGGAGAAGACCTACAGAAATATAAGGACAAAAACAGAGAAACAAAAAAACTAATTAGTAAAGAAAAAAATGAAAAATGGGATAGACTCTGCCAAAACATACAACAGTATACAGGAGGTACAAGATGCTCGGAATCATGGAGAACAATAAGATCTGTCAGATCAAATACCAAAGAGAAAGTCAATATACAGTTTATCAAAGAAACCGAATGGGAAAATTATTATCAACAACTACTAACGGAGACACGACCACAATTCTGGCAACAACTAACATACCAAATACAACCTAACAACAATCTAAAGCATGTAACAATAGAAGAAAAAGAAATAATAAAAGCCATTAAAGAATTAAAAAACAAAAAATCACCAGGGCCAGGGGGGACAGTGAATGAACTTATTAAGTATGGGTCGGACAAATTATTCAGAATATTAAAAAACATGTTTGAAAGAGCAATAAATGGAGAAACGTTACCAAGGGAGTGGAATACGGCATATATAAGCTCTATTTTCAAGAAGGGGGATCGTAGGAAGTGTACCAACTAAAGAGGAATTAGCATTATATCAAGCATGGGAAGACTATATGGAAAGATAATCAAAAACAAAATAGAAGACCAGATAATAGGGAAAATAGGTGAAGATCAAGCCGGTTTCACGGCAGGGAAGTCATGCGTTGATCAGATATATACGGTAAGGCAGACTATCGAAAGGAAAAAAGCTAAAAACAGAGACATCCATTTAGCATTCATAGATATAAGAAAAGCTTATGACTCTATACCCAGACAACAACTTTGGAAAGCAATGGAAGATATTGGGATAGAAAGAGAACTAATAAAAGCCGTAGATACAATGTACAAGAACAACGAGTTGTCGGTTAAAATAGGTAATAGGTACACAAATCGATTCACAACATCAAAGGGCCTACTACAAGGATGCCCTACATCAACAACGTTGTTTAAAATCTATCTTGAGAGGACGCTAACACAATGGAAAAGAAAATGTCAAGGTATGGGAGTCCCAGTACGCGACGACCACTTATACACCCTAAGCTTTGCCGACGACCAGGTGGTCATAGCCCAGGATGAAGACGACTTGAGTTACATGCTCAGAAAGCTGAAAGAGGAATATGAGAAGGAAGGTTTGGAAATAAACTTCGAAAAGACAGAATATCTAACAACAAAAGAAGGGGAAATCGAAGATTTGGAAATAGATGAAAACACAACCGTAAAAGCAACAGACAAATTTAAATACTTAGGGTGTATAATAACGAAAGATGGATCAACAGAAGAAGAAATCAAATCTAGACTAGGTCAGGGTAGAACATGTATAAAACAACTGAACTCCATTATATGCAACAAGAAATTAACAAAGAAAACAAAAACAACAATATTTAAGACAATAGTAGAAAGTATAATTATATACGGAGCAGAAACCTGGCTATTGAACAAAAAGAACAAAGCTAAAGTAACCGCCGTAGAAATGGAATATTGGAGAAGGTGTTGCCAACGAACACGCATGGATAGAATACGTAACGCAGAAATCAAGAGGCAAATGAATGTAGAAAAAGACTTATTAACTACAATAGCAGAAAAACAGCTTAAATGGTATGGTCATGTCAGACGAAGTGACGATAGACGGTGGATAAAGAAAATCACAGAGTGGAGCCCTATGGGACGTAGAAAGAGAGGAAGACCCAGAAGATCGTGGAGGGATGAAATAGATGAAGCCATGGAGGAAAGGGGGTCGCCAAAATCTCACTTGGCATCTTCAATGCTCGCGCTCCGAAAACACTTCGAACACTGGGAGGTTATCGGCGGTGCGTGCGGTATTTATACTCTGCGCCGGAGATGGTAACGGTGCCACGCACAAGCGCACGTTGGCGAAACGTCTGCAGGATTCCAGTCGGATGCAGGATTTGCAGGATTCCAGTCGGATGCAGGATTCCAGTCGGAGTTCAACGAGCGAACGGATGATATCCCGGAGTATAGTGTCATCACATTTTTCCATCCGTGAATCAATACGTGAGAATATATATATATATATATATATATATATATATATATATATATATATATATATATATATAAACCACTACTTTTCCAAATTACTCTGGAAATCAAGCTTCATTACCCCTATCCTAAAATCCGGAGATAACTCGCAAGTCAACAATTATAGGTCCATCAGTATCTTGAGTTGTATTCCTAAAGTGTTGGAAAGTTTAGTCTGCGACTTTATCTGCTGACCTTAAAGGTTGCTTCATCGACCAACAATTTGCATTTCTCTCCTATGGCTCCACTGAGCTAAATTTGCTGACATTCACAGATTTTCTGCTGGAATCATTGGAGGAGGGGTCTCACTTTCATGCCATTTACACAGACTTTTCAAAGGCTTTTGCTGGAGTAAATCATCAAATCTTAATAAAACAATTGCAAAACATTGGAATCCAGGGAAAACTTCTGGAATGGTTAACATCGTAACTTACTGAACGAGTGCACATTGTGCGCGTCCAGAGCTTCCAATCCGCCGAACTTAGAGTGCCTTCTGGTGTTCCACAAGGTTCGCACCTGGGACCCCTGCTCTTCAATGTTTATGTGAATGATATTGCCTCATGTTTTCATCACGCATGTTTCCTATTATTTGCTGACGACTTAAAATTCTATATGAGAGTCCATAATGCTGATGACTGTATAAAACTCCAGTCCGATTTAGATCACCTATCGCTATGGTGCGATTTCAATGGAATGGAACTAAATATTAATAAATGCCAACAAATGAACTTTTACCGGAGCAGAAACCCCATACATTTTACATATAACATAAAAGGGACACCTTTATTGCAGGCCTCCGTAAATAAGGGATATTGCAGTGTTACTCGATATTAAGTTGACTTACACACAACATGTTTCATTTATTGTGTCTAAATAACTCCAGATTTTGGGCTTTATTAAGCGTTGTACAGTGGACTTCTGAGTGTTCCTTCTCTCAGATTATTGTTCTGCTCCCTAGTGCGTCCACACCTGGATTATTGTTCCTGTGTGTGGTCACCTTCGTATAACGTCCATAGGTTCCTGCGGTACATAGCATTTAAGGAGCACCAAGGACTTGAGGACGTTGATTACTTTGAATTGGAAAACTCGCTCCAACTTACAACTCTTCAGATTCGTCGCATGCAGAGGCACCTCATAATTTTTTATGATCTACTGCATTCAAATTCTCATGGACCTGAGCTGTTATGTAAGATTGGGCTTCGCATTCCCATCCGCCAGACGAGAATAAACCACTACTTCCAGGTGGAGTTCCATCGTACTAACTATGTGCAGAACACTAGCTGCACTAGCGAATCGCTTTTCTGACCAACTTGACTGCTTCCAGAGTGCAAGAATATTTAAGAAAGAACTTAAAAACTGTCGCTAAAACTATTCCGCTTTTCCTCGCAATAGTATTGTATAACATTGTGTTGGTGGCTCACTGCTCTTATAAGTGTACTTACTGTCGTGTCGACTAAGTATACCAATATTTAATATTTTGGAAAACCAATGTTTGTCATATTTGGGTAAGGTCTTCATCTATCTACTTAATTCTGTTTTAATTTATTCTATTTTATTTCGTTTTTTATTATTGTGTTTACATTAACCCTATTTGGGGGTTAATACATAAATAAAAAACAATATCTTAACCTAACTTACCTCTATTCCTTTCAGATTTATGTATTTCTCATAACACTCGTGTAAATCCAAATATTTCCCATATCCCTCCTCATCAGTAAATTCAACCAAATCTAAAAATGTTGCCCAGTAACCTTCGCCAAAACGCAACACTAAATACTTACTTGCCATTTCTTCAGTGGGGTTCTCTCTGGCTTTGCCCAATTCATCAAACTCCACAGACATGGGCACACTGATCTGAAAATATTGTCGTTATGTCACCCGGAGAGTTTGTATAATACAATAAACTCACCTCATTGGGGTGCTTACGATAAAAATCTTTTATTTGCTTCAAACGACTGTAAAACTCTTGAAACTCGTTTGGACCTGTAAGGGCAGCCACTTCAGCCTTCCTCTGCCCGTCTTTGTCATCATACAGTTCAATTAGGCGATTCGTCGAAGTCATATATCTGTCCAGCAAGTATTTCATACGGTGATCAGAATTAATCTGCTCTCTGTACTAAAAAAGAGAATCCTGTTATGTCAATCCATTGCTAATATCTACGAGCACCTATTTTCGACAAGAACCCCAAACCACAATAAAGCCTATCCATTTGCGTTATTAACAAAACCATAATTACTCACGGCGTTCTTTTTATGCAGCATTTCTTTAACCATGGCGTCGACTAGACGTTCCTTTTCTTCGTGGTAGCGCCTCTGCTGTTCCAAAATTGTTTCCATTTTGAAAATAACAACCAGTCTTTTTTTATAACCCCGAAATGTCTGAAATCCACAGTATATTAAAGAAATATATGTTGGTGAGTGATTAATAGTGAACAAAGTGTAAAAGAAGATGAAAACAAGATTGCTAAACAAGGACGGAGAAATATTATTTGAAAAATAAAATAATACAGAATCACGTTAAACAGTAAATATGTCCGGAACTCATTGGGGAGAAATACCTAAAATTCCAATCGATGACTTTTTTATCCCAGATGTTACGGCAGACATAGAGAGTTCCATGTCCGAATGCTGTTTAAGCGAGTATGAAGGTGAAACGGAAAATACCTATCAAGAAGACATAACGTAACTTTTGAGTTTTGGATATTGTTGCTGGCTGCAATAATGAGCCGTAGGTTGCCCCCCATGGACCCGGTAATGATGTATGCTATAGCATTGCATAAATACGCGGCTAACATGACAGAAATGATTAAAGTAGCAGAGGTAGCAATTGAAAGCAAAATCATACCCCCCGATACCAGGCCGGTTATTCCCAAGATGCCGAAAATTGAGTTTAAACACAAGCCCAACCCATTAAATTTTATTCCACCAGATATGTAAGCTGTTTTATTCTACATTAATAGGACATCCAGAAGTTTTCCTTTTCAGGGAGCAAACCAATGAAGACATAAAAATTCCAGAACTAAGTGAAGTAGTTGTAAAAAAAATATTGGCAAAATGTATTGCTACCATGTTTGCACACATAGGGTTCGAAAGTAGTTTTCAAAGTGTGTTGGATATTTTGATAGACATGTTAGAGAAATTCTATTTAAAAGTGTGTGGTCGCTTTGTGCAAGCGTTGGACGAGGAAGAATCACTCAAGACAGGCGGGTTTCCAGTAGGAGTAGCTATTTTTTGCTTTTTCTCTGTTTCAAAATGCATGTTTCAGAATGCTCTCGAAAGAGTACTGGTTGAAAGTGGATTGGGTGGAGTTAAAGGCCTAAATGATTATTACCAATGCAGAGTGCTGAAATATGTTAATGTGTTACAAAGACGATGTAAAGAGCTCGATAATTATTATTCACAGCTGCTCGCGCCCAGGGGTCCACCTCAAGAGTCCGCTAAATAAACATCAACGGTACCTATCCTGTTTCAAATAACTTTCTTCAAAGTGGAAAATGAGATTACCTAATTGCAGTGATATTTTGCAAATAAATGTAACATTTACCTTTTCTTGGTGTTAGGTTATGTCTATTCCAGAATTTGGTTAGTTGTAATGCAACAAAACTCTCCTCTACTCTACCCTAAATCATCTCTGCATCAGGATCCTTGGTGAAAATAACAATAACGGCAGTAAAATTAATTTTGTCCAAGAATATAGCAAAACATTTATTGAAACTTAATTAAAACAAACATTAACATTTTTCTTGAAAAATGATGTCTCGGGGCTGTTTCTTTATTTCTTGGCAATTTTGGCATGACTGGGAACAATTTTTATAGCACTCAGCATCTTGCTGATATTATCTGGGACTGGCTCCACAGTTGTAGAAAAATTTGGTATTGGCGGGAGTACCTGAAGAAAATGGCATAAGGAGATTGAAATCAAAATGTTATGCTAGGAATTACCTCTTTTTTAGGCTGCGATGAGGTAGATACCTTCACATTTGCATCAGAAGTATTTTGTTGGCTAAGAATCCTTTCCAATCTTTGCCTTTCTGTCAACCTAAAATCTTTCCTCTTTGCGGCAGATTGAGCGTCTACTCTACGCAAAATATTGTTCTTTTCGCAATACTCAGCCGGATTATACGAGGGAAGATCACACTATAAGTACGTTAGAATAATCAGTTACTTCCTATGAAATGCTTATACAAACTGACATCATCCCACGAGTCGTCAACTGGTACACTACTGGATTGTACAGGCATAATAGGAGCTGTAGCTTCTGTTATGATGCTAAACTCAACTTTTTTACGATCAGGACAGGTATCATGGTGATACTGTGTGAAAAAAAAAATTGCCACCAGGAAAACCAAATTTGCAGAAAATATCTTACTTGCAGTTCGGGTTGCGGGATGAGGTGGCACGTATTGAAATCACACGCCACTAATACCCTGCTTTCTTGCTCGTATGATTTTCTACATTTTATCAAGTGTGCCTCCATTCTCATTTTTCGAATGTAGTGAGCGGAATTGTAGGGACAGAGAATCTTCTCCTCTAAGCTGCAACAAAAATATATTATATTAGTAGCAGGTTTCGAGAATGTTTGCTACTCACTTTCGCAAAATGTCCATATTTTACTCGAGAAAAAAATGCCAGTTAAAAATTAACAATTATGACAGACACCACAGCACGGAAACTCGAATAACAGACAACGACCTACTTTCTAGCATCACGTGACAAGTCCTTGAATTAACAGAAAAAATGCGATTTCTGGTGATCTTACCTAAATATACCACGTTTAATTAAGGTATCTTAAAAAAAGTTACGTATTGTAGATATACAAAAGATAATAAAAATGTGTTAAAACAAACCTCGGCCAAACTTTTCACAGTACTACAGAATAGAAAAAGTAAATTTTCGGACAGGTCAATTTTGTTAAATATTAATACATTTTCAATATGGTTTCATATTCTGCTATGGTTTCCCATGTGGGATACAAACTTGTACAGTTTAAATAAAATTTGTGTTCTTATCGCAAATCCGTTTAAATCACAAGACAATAGACTAGTCAACCCAACTTGATGCTACGTCAACAAAGCGGAGCTGACAACAAACACGATGTTTTCGGCTTTCAGCTTTTAAACATGTTTTAATCAAACTTCAACGACAGAAGTTGTGCAAAAATCGGTGTAAACCTAATTTGTTCGACAAAGTAATTTTTGATAATTTTAGGCACGTTATGAGAGTACAGGCGCGCGCGATATCGAAAAATGGCGAGTGTAATGTGATTCAAAAAACATCTACATCCCAAAATTTCGTAGTTTTCCGTTACAAAAGGCTGGTGGATTCTTGTTGGGGGTTTACTCTCTCGGCCTTTTTGATTATTCTAAGCATCGCCTGGTTGATATTCGGAATACTCTACTGGCTGATTTGCTTCACTCACGGCGACTTTGAGCCACACCACCTGCCGGAGTATCAAAAGGCGAACAATTTCACGTAAAATCACAACCACCGCGCGGTTGTTTCGGGTGTGACGTCATCGTTTTCTAGGCCGTGCATCTATGACGTCAGGAATTTCGCCTCATGCTTTTTGTTCAGCATGGAGGCGCAGCACACGTTGGGTTACGGCATCAAGGCGCCGACCGACGCTTGTCCGGAAGCCGTCTTTGTCAACGCGATGCACTGCATCATAGGTTTCATTATGCAGGTACGAGCATATCGGAGGAATTTCGTTCGACGGACACCGTAACGTTCCAGGGCTTCATGTCCGCCGTCATATTTTCGAAAATGACGTTGCCCGGGCAACGGTCGCAGACCATAAAATTCTCGAAGCATGCCGTCATCTGTTCAAGAAACGGCGCGTTCTGTCTTATGTTCAGGGTGGGCGACATGCGCAAGAGCCCCTTAATAGAGACGAAAGTTAAGGCTTACTTTCTCAAGAAGCGAGGCTTTCCGCAGCGCAATCGGTTCTCGCTCGCGCAGACGCAGATCACCATACAGTCAGACGGTTGCGACGACGGTATATTTTTTAACTGGCCGTTGGTCATGTGTCACGTCATCGATGAAAATTCCCCCCTCTACTACCTCTCGCCGATCGATCTGAATCGAGACAGGTCAGATCTTATTCCTCGTCGTTGATTGGAGTGACGATTAATGACGATTACAGGTTTGAGATTGTCGTGGTGATTGAAGGGATGGACGAAAATACAGGACAGGTGACGCAATCGACAGCTAGTTATCTGCCCAACGAGATACTGTGGGGACGGAGCTTTCAGACTTTGTTTAAATACGACGATATGCGGAACGAGTACGAAGTGGACTTTTCCAGATTCGACGGCACCGTTTCGAACGTCACGCCCCTTTGTTCGGCAGCTGTCAATGTCGCAAATCACTCGCTAGCAGCAGAGCGCAGCAGGCCCTCTGCGTGAACATCGTCCGTACTACTTCTGACGCACTTTTTTTTTCTTAATAACATACCTTCGAGTTATAATGGCGTTTTTTTTGTGTATGACACAATGGCGGCAAAGCCATTCGAAATTCGAAAATTAGACTAAATATCCAAGATCGAAATGGGAAATTTTATTTATTTATTATAAGAGCGACAATAATTATTAGCTCATATAATATATAATTACAAAATTAAAAACTTTAAAAAATTCAGTCAGTGATAAGCATGCAACTTTAAACTTAAGTAACCTAACCTAACCTAAACTAGAAAATACTGGTAATAACTTTCAACGCTACGGTGTGCCAGTTATAGCTACGGTAGAACCGAAAAGTGCATTTTCATATATAATTTTTCTTATAAGTTGATGAAAGAAGATGATCATGACCATCGTTTTTAATTGCATGTTATGAAATTAGGAGGGAGATGTCTAATTGGTTCAAATATGTTGAGTTTAACTCAATATATATATATATATATATATATATATATATATATATATATATATATATATATATATATATATATATATATATATATATATATATATATATATATATATATATGAGCAAATTAGGTCTCGTTCGAGAGAGGAAACTTCGACTGTTAAGAGAAAAATACCAGTGACAAACTGGTTTTCAGTGCTCCCGCTATAACGCGCCAATTCAATTATTTCAACAGAAATAGAAAGTATATCAGATTTGAGAAAGAAAAACCTTCAAACCTTCCACTGTTGCGGTATTACATCGACAACGTAAAATCACTACTACCGTGTGCAAACTGCACATTGGCTACACTGTTTTAGGCACTTTGCAAAATGGTTGATGCGTTAGTCACTCTGAGAATTAAAGGAGATAAAAAGACATTTTAACACATGTTTTTTTATATCTAACATTTTATTATTATTAATGTATATATACCGCGTTTTTAATCAGTGGTATTTGAGAAGGCGTTAAATTGTTCGAGTGGAATTCATTGTTGCCATGTTGAACCCACACCTGTCTCCTATCAATTAACTCAACCAAACCTGTCATAGACTTGTTTATTTCTTCTCAAAAGAATTTGGTTAGTTTCAGTTATTCTGTTGTCGACAGTTGTCGAGTTGAGATGATGAATGTTTAAACTGGCACCCTCTTGCGGAAGCAGTAAAAATCAGTTTGTCACAAGTATATTTTTTTCTTAATAAGAAAAAGAGACCGTTCTGATCGAGTAAACGTAAAGGTTCGAATGAAATACTTGACATGTAAAGACGGAAAATGTGACTGCCCAGGACGCAAATGATGTATATTAGATTGAATAAAATAACATGTCGAGTGACGAACTTACAGATGCAAGCGGCCTAGCACAGATAATTTTTATCAGATGACCAGCCGTACAGGATTGGCCGTACAGGTTCAGGTTTTTCCGAAAACGTGGAAAATCTCGTGTCGAATTGTCTCTGATTTTTCAATATAGTTATATTTTAACTCCACTAACCAAAAAAATCATAAATATTTCGCAACGCCGCAATTCCACATTACTCAGAAATTCAACCCGCAATAAAAACTATTTTATTGTAAACTAAAACATTAATAAATGCGGATGAATTATTTGACGAAATATCTTAAATAAAAGTTGGAAGATTGGCAAGCTGCTGATATCAATGTTTGTGTCCGATGGCCTGAAGTTTTTGATAATTGTACAAAAAAACAACTGGGGTGTAGAAACATATGTTTGATAGTTGCGTTTGAGGAAGAAAGAGTGTTTTCAATTGTAAACAACTTTTGGAGCAGCGAAAAAAGTCAACTTCGTGTGAGCACTTTCAAATCAGCCATGATTACAAGGTGCAACGGGAATTTAAGTTGTTTGAAGTTTTACAAATTCCTGTTAAAAAATGATGTTGCTCCAAAAGCAATAGGTGATGCAAAACAAGTATTCTTTTAAAGGATAGGTGGTTTTAAAAAATCATTGAGTATTAAAATTTAGTTGGTATATATTTTCAGTATCTATAAGACAAAACTTTGTTTATACACAAAGATAATAAGTTTTTTTCCCAATGTAAAAATATGTATATTTCGTTTTTATATTTACATGAGTTAACGGGGGGTTGGGTCGTCTCTCTCGAAGTTGCTCCTCTAATTCTTATCTAACCTAAGTCACAGACTACATTTTTTGCCAAATCTATACATGGTCAGTGGTTATTTTTCATATGCATAGTATGAACGATTCATCATTCGTATTAACAATAAATTCAAAAACACACAACACTGACATTCGCGGCGCATGTGCGTTTTGCCGATTACACGTATGAAATTAATAGAAAGTTAAAAGCTGTTTAAAGTTATTTGGCTATACTCTCAATTTACCTTTTTGGAGTTTTGATTCTTTTTTCGCAAATATGACAGAAACTAAAGAAATAAAAGCACACGCTGTAAAGTAATTATAAACAAAATGGTTATTTCGAATTCATTCTGATCAATAAATACCCTTCTCTCAACTATGCCGAGGGTACAGGGACTCCACAGGCACAGTATAGTTCTTTTAGTTTTTTCAATGGATAAACCACAAAGGCTGCACGTGTTTTATTAGTTGCATACTAACGAGTGAATAAAAACGAAACAAATCGAAAATGTTATTATTTATCTATAAATTATTTACACAAAATCGCTCGGAATCAGTTTTAAAAATATATACAATTCGTTTAAGTGAACGGGACGAAAAAAAACGCTCTCTCGTTACTCGATCGGTAACGATTCGTGTAGCCACTTCCTACCGCCTTCTTCACTGAAGTCGGCTGCGCCGTGGTCGATTCCTTCGAGCAGCCACTTCGTGGTGAGCAATCCCTCAACGCCTACCGGACCGCGCGCGTGTATTCTCGCTGTGCTGATGCCGACTTCGGCACCTAAAACCATTTCATATGAGTCGACTGCTTAGCGCACGCGCAACGACGTACCCAAACCAAACCTAAAACCGTCCGCAAAGCGAGAACTGGCGTTGTGGAATACGCACGCGCTGTCTATTTTCTTCATAAACCGGTCTGCGCGGTCGGCTAGAAACATTAAAAACAACTAGGGTTGTGTCAATCGTTCATTTTACGAGAACCGAATCATTCGGTGACCATTTCGAAAATGAACGAATCTTTTCAATCAATCGTTCATTTCAATAACCAAAACTATAAACCGTAACAGGCAATTGTCACTTAATCCTAACAATCCTAACGACAGATTCCGATTCAGTTGAATATGAATTTTTGTTGTGTCTAAATGTTCCGTTTTTTGTTTTAGTTAGTGTAATATTTAGCCCTGTTCTGCTTTTTATTACATCATGATTTTATCAAAATATGTGCTATAGAATAATTATAAAAATACTCCCATTCCTTTTCTGTGCATTTAAATCTTATAACATTCAAATGAATCGGTTAGGGTGGCAGTGAGAGCGAACAAGGTGATCGAATCGATACGAACGAGCGGGATTCGGTCGTTCGATACTATGAAGTGATTGAACTAATGCTGAGCTCGGTTATTCGGATATTAGTCACGTGGTGACGGATTAATCCGAGAACATCGTGGTTACCGAATGCATCAGAGAAACGTTTTAAATTTCTAACCTATAAAACTGAAGCATATAATATTAACAATACTAGTATTCTTATGATTTCTGTTTGGTGGGCTTCGTGGGCATAAAAATGAATGTTACCATAGCATATGTCCGCATTTTTGCGAAGGAGATTTTTTTTTTGATGACGGCCACAAAAAAGAACCTATCTTTGCCCCCAAAGTTAGTGCTCCGAGGTTTGCTGATAATCAGTTTAAGGAGAACTTTGGAATGAGTGCAATCACATGTGAAGACCTCCTACAAAAAATTCATTCAGTGGATCAAGAACAAAGATTTTATTACTTTCTTTTTTTACTAGAAATAAATCCTATTTTGTATAGTGCATCAAATAAATCTATCTGGAAGTACTTTTCACAAAACTTCTGGATTCCTCCTGCGTCGGTTTTTGTTGAGTCGAACTTGCCAACGTTTCGTCAATCATCCTGCTGGTTTCTTCAGAGCTTGACTGAAACTGACTCGTATTTTACTCTGTAGCTCTTTATATATTGTTTGAGGGGGGCGGAGTTAAATTAGGGGCATAAACTCGTCTCGGATGACTGATTCCCATATTGGTAGCTGTTAAGATTGTTTATAGGTTTCTATAGACTTTTGGATTTTTCGTTGGTAGAAGATTTGAGTACATGCAAGAATTCCAATTTTATCGAATAAAATTTTATGTCCGGTCTCGTGATTGTGTTCGGCAACGGCTGACGAGTTTATTTGTCGTAGCCCTAAAGCTCTTTCATGTTCTTTGAGCCTAGTTGATATTTTTCGTCTGGTCTCTCCAATGTATTCTTTGCCGCATATGCATGGAATGCTGTAAACTCCTGGCATCTTAAATCGAATATTCTCATTGACGGATCGAAGATGATGAGAGATTTTTGGACAAGTGGTAAATCTGGTTTTGACGTTATATTTCTTTAGAACTTTTGATATGTGGATAGTGATGTTTTGAAGGTAAGGAAGGACGACAGTGGCAAATGTAGGATTGTTTTCGCCCTCATTGATATAATGTAGAAATTATTAGAGAGAAGAGCAGAGGTAAGGTGTTTTAATTCTGGGTTCAGTGACTCGGGCTGAAATACTTTTACGGTTTTCTAAACAGTTGATAACCGATGATTTTTGATCCGGATGGTCATGTGACAATGCATTAAGGTATCGGGTCTGCATATAAACACGATGACCCAATGTTAGGTCTGATTTTATATTGATAAGAATATCTATGAATAGGAGATTGTTATAAATCGTATGTTAGGGTGTATAGAGTTTAAAATATCTAAAAAAATCCACTCGGGATAACTCTTCTTTCTCTCTCTTTCTCTTTTGTAAGAATCTTTTTCTTTTTTGTGATATCATTGAAGATACACTACATACATACATACGTTATGTTTTTTTTTAACAAGGATTGTTTTTATATATAATTTGTATACATATTTGTAGGTAAATAAATAATAATCAATCGCGATTGACGCAACCCTAGTCTACACGTAGAAAAACCCCAAATAATTTGAAATTCACCCCATGTTCCCCGACTTTTCGAACCCACCGTTTTCGGTGACTATGACCTCCGTGTGACCGCTGCCGTAGGTGTGTATGTGACTCACGGCGGCCTCCAAGTCCGCGACCACCTCCACGCAGCATTCGAGTGAGCCGTATTCGTGTTTCATGCTGGCGGCCAGCGGCGGACCGAACGTAAGCCGCTGGTTCAACGCCGGGCCAGAGTAAATCTTCACCCCTTCCCTTTTCAGCATGGTGCACACCTCCGCGAAAAAGTCGCCTTCGAGGAGCGCCTCGTGAATGAGCAGCGTCTCCATGGCGTTACAAGCTGCGGGATAATCGCACTTGGAGTCTCTGATTATTTTCAACGCTTTTCTAAGGTCGGCGTCCTTGTCTACGTAGACGTGGCAAATTCCCTCGGCGTGTCCCAGCACTGGTATGTGCTGCGACTGGCTCTGGATGCTGCGCACCAGGTCGCTCGACCCGCGCGGGATGATCAGATCGATGTGCTGCTCCATAGTCAGCAGGTCGCCGATCTCTTCCCTGGTGGACACCTGAACACATGAGCGTCTGGTGAAAATATAGGCGATGGGAGTCAGTTGGCAATGGTGAGCAGTAGAGTTAGAATTTTATGTAAAAAACATATTTCATATTATTAGGAATATCTATTTATTTATTTATTTATTGCAAAGTTTTTTACATGAAAAAAACCAAACAAAACGCAACTAGTATAATATCATTATATGTATCTCGCAATGAGTGACACCTAAATGCAAGAAGCATTTCTATGTGCCCTATGTTATATTGATGAAATTTTAACAAAAAGGTATAATAAATTGGTTAAGGCTTTCGCGGCCCGTTGATAAGCTATTATCTTGATTCGGGTTTAAAGGCCATTGTCGATTGGAATTACTTCCTAACGTTTCGCTAGCACGAGTGGCGAGCGGCCTATTGATAAGCAATCGACGACGGCCTTTAAACCCGAATCAAGATAATAGCTTAAAAGGTATAATATTCTATTTTATAGAATTTCATTACATAGTATGTACAATAGTGCGTAAAAATATGTACAGTATGTTCATTCAAATAGAGATTGCCATTTTTCGCTGTTATGCCATTAAAAGGATTTACAAGCTTGAATATATTTTCTAGAATTATTAATATTTTTTATTTCTTCTGTTAAAATATTATTTACTTATTTTAAATTTATGTTATTGTAGTTGGTTGGTACTTGAATATTTCTGTTTATTCTTATACGTGTCAGCCTTCGTCTTATGAAGATATTCACAGACAGTTATTATGTATATTCTTCTAGGCATAATCTTCAACTTAATGCTAAAAAATGCAGCGTAATGTTCTTTTCCCCTAAACCTGAACAAGTATCCCAAATGTATTTATTAATTAACGGTGAACATTTGAAAATTGTGAATTGTAATAAAAACCTTGGGATTATATTTGATTGTAGACTTAGATTCGTGGAATATGTATCTTTGTTGGTGAAAAAGTCTTATTTGGTTTTGTGACATTTATACAGGCATAGAACTGTCCCTAAACTTTTAGCTCAATCCTTTCGATTATGAACTATTACCCATGTATATATATATATATATATATATATATATATATATATATATATATATATATATATATATATATATAAAATCAAGACTTTTTTCTTGGGTAGTCCGCACGAAATTTCTGTATTTCTGTTTTACAATTTTATTTCTACAATTTTAAATCGTATCGTCATGTGTTGTATCTAAATGTTTTTATTTCTACATCGATTTTAAAATTAGGGTAAGTTTTATTGTTCTCGCTCTCGTTGCCTTTTATAAAACCCTGTCAATTTTTTAGATATTTTTGAATAAGACCGAATACCCGGTCGAAACGTTAAATAAATTTATTAGGAATTAGATAGATTTGTTTTACGTAACGGACCATAATATATACCCAAGAAAAAAGTCGTGATTTTAACATATACAGAACGGTCCAAGAACACAAAAACGACCTGAAAGAATTTGAAACATATATTACAGGAGTGCCCTGATGAGTTTAGTGATATTTTCTCTACATTTTGTCAATATGTTTGTACTGTTTGTATATCCGTTTGTAACTGTTCTATACTGTACTGTTAAATGTGTTTTATCGTATTGTTTATATACATAATTCCATGTATCTTTATACTACTCTATAATGTACTCGTTTCCTGACGAAGCATCCACTGTATACATATTGGGCTTTGTGAATAAAACTATCTCTCTCTCTCTCTCTCTCTCTCTCTCTCTCTATATATATATATATATATATATATATATATATATATATATATATATATATATATATATATATATATATATATATGTATATAATAAATTCAAAACACTGTTGCACATTTATTTTCAGCTTGCGTAAATTTGATAGGATTTCTCACAAAATCCAGGAACTTAACTGGCTAAAAATTGCTAATACTTTTTGGCGTCTATGGTTTCCCAAATTATTGGCACATCCAATCCGTCCTACTTACGAGCTCAATAACAGTTTCGTAATGTTCAATCAGTGGCTTTAAGGCACTGCAGACTCTCACTGTCACTTTTTTCCGCAGATCATTGTCTTATAACGCTGTTGTAATTTTTAATAGTACTCCCGATTCAGTAAAATCAGACAAAAAATATTTCGGGTTGAAACTGCTAACTTCTCAATGTTATCCTTTTTATTTTGACTTTTATTGACTTTCTATTGTTCCATATTACTATTACTTTTATCTATAATAAGTTCCTATTTAGTTTTCGATTTAAACATTTAAGATGTTAAGTGGAGTAGCTTTTGCTAGACTTCGCCTCTTCCCTACTGTATATTTATATATAACAATATACAACAATAAAGGCAATTTATTGTCATTATTATTAATATTATTATTATTATTATTATTATTATTATTATTATAATGTAACGATTTTAACACTTACAACACATCACAAACACCCTAGTTGAAAAGGAAAATAAAAAGTAGGCCAAAGCTGTGAAAAAGCAGGGAAAAGGAAAAGGAACAGGAAAGAAATGCAAGCCACAGAAGGTCAGTCGTGAGAAAACACTGCAGGACTCTAATGACAACACATCGACATCAGATGCGAATACGGATCAGTTATGCCAGGATGACGAAAATGACGACGCGGAAGATGCTTTGTCTTGTATATGGGGAATTTGAACGAAACAATGAAACATGGTATAGTCTGTTCATGGATATAAGAAAGCGACTGACTGATACGAATTAAGGAAAGACCCGGGCAAGCTGTAATAATGAAATATGGCCGAATAGGTCCGTACTTTGCTTAGAATTTAATTATTTGGAGTTTTGTTAGGAAATATACTAAACAATATTTATTTATTTATGTATGTATTTATGTTTAAATCTAAAATAAAATTACAAATTATTTTTATTACCTACTTAAATTACTTAAATTCATTCACATAATATATCAGTATCACTATCGCTATCATTGCCTCTTCTAATTATTATTTGTTCTATATTATTTGCAATATGGATATACGATTGTTCTACTTTTTCTATATGTTTAACAGAATTTGCCCAACTTTGTGGAGGGATGTTACAAACTTCGGTTTCTATAAGGGCGAGGACATTGGAGTTAACACGGGGAAAAACATTGTTACGACAAACATGGTCAATCGGATTAAATATAAAGTGGTAAGGTGGAAGCCTTAAAACTGTATGCCCTAGTTTTTTTGCATAATTATCACACACGTATTCTTTTTGTAGGTTCAAGCTTTGTAGAACCTCAATTGATTGCTTTTTGGTATAATCTTGGTGAAAATAAATGTCGTTATTATACATATAGTTTTGGATTGTTGCTTTTGTGTCACATGAGGAAGGGGTTTTGGTCAACTGCCTACTGTGATAACTTGCATTGTCCATTACAATGACGCTATTAGGAGGAATGTTCGGAACTAGTTTGTTTTTAAACCAACTTTCGGTGGCGGTGGTGTCTTCAGAGAAGAATTTTTAATATTTTTCGTAGACAGAGAAAGTCCATTTGGAATCCAACCATCTTGAGAGTCAGCATGCAAAATAGTTATTCTTTTACCTCTTTTTGATGGCGCGTTTGTTTTACACTTATCAGTTGAGTCAACCCAACCCTTTTCCGGGGTATTATAAGTGTCGAACCAGGTTTCATCCAAGTAAATAATTGGCCTTTGTTGCTCTCTGTAAATGCTAATTTTTTCAAGATATTCCAGTCGCCATTTCCGAATTCTAAAAGATTCCATTAAAACTTGCCTTTTGTCAATTTAAAACCCAGCTGTTGAATACACTTCCATAAGGTAGTTCTGCCACATTTAACACCGGTTTCATCTTTTTCAAGCCACCTAACTAAGATATCTAATGTAGGCACGCTTTGTTCCTCGTATAACTGGTAAATTATACGCCGTATTATATCTTGATCACTTTCATCTACGCTCGAGAAAATGTCAGCATCGCTTCTTTTTATCCTCGCTGAAATGGGGTTATTCATAATTTTCTATACAGTTGATGTTGGAATTTTCGTCAATGTGGCCGTTTCTTCTAAAGATGCTTGCTTGCTGGCACCACGTTCAATGAGAGTCAAATAAATGTTGTTTATAACTTCCTTAGCCTCGATAGAATAGTGTTTTCTAAATTTGGGCGGGAGCATCTCCTGAGATACACTAGACTCGCACATATTTTGTATAATTCGCACACGATCCAACAAACTAAACAATTCAAACTTAAACTAAGTGGTATACCAAACCAAAGAATATTAAACACAGGTAGGTATAAAATTATTTTCTATTACGGACCACAATTTCACCTGAATTTAAATTCCGAAACTTTACACAACAACAACAATTGCCCACATGCAGATCACCATTACCAAGCGGTGTTGACAATCGTGATCAAACGTATTATTTTTCATTTCTTTTATTGTACCCTAATCAAGAAACCAAAGTTGATCTCAATCCATAGTCAAGTAAGCAAAAAGAACAGAGGAATAAATAATTGACGCATATATTTCCTTTTTTTTTTCTCTCTCGTTTAAGTGATCCCCATTACCCACATTTACCCTACCAAAGATATCGCGTTGGTCGCGCCGACCGTGTTCAGGGACTCTTTGACCAACTCCATGAGCGCTTTGTTGCTGTTGCTCGCTTCTTTGCCGCCCTTCAACAGCAGTCCGTTGGCGGATGCGATCGCCAGGGCCGCCACCTGGGGCAAGCTATCCGGTCGGGATTCGAAAATCACCAGCAGTACCCCGATCGGCACGGTGATCTGCTTCAGCTCGAGGCCTTCTGCCAGTCTAGTTCTCCTCAGCACTCTGCCGACGTTATTGTAGCTCGAGTCGGCAATCTGCTTCAAACCGATCGACAGGTTCTTGAGCTTCGCCGGCGTGAGCGATAGTCTGGACAAGAGCGGTTTCGCGAGTCCCGACTCCTGCGCCAGCTCCAGGTCCTTCTGGTTGGCATCCAGAATGTGCGACTGTTTGGAAACCAGCAGATCCGCTAAGGTGTACACGCAGGACGCCCGTTCCTGCGGCGTCAACACCTGCAGTTGGCGACCTCCGTTGCGGGCTGAAAGTCAACGTTCATGTACATCGGAATTTTTCCTCCGTTGCTTCACTTTACCGTTTTCGGCAATGATTTCGGTGGGCACGCTGCCCGTTATGGCGCAGTCGGTGAAGAAGGTGCCGAGTTTCCTGCCGGACAGGATGTTCTTTATCGCTTCCTTGGCCATGCCGTTGCAGATGACCACCGACACGCCCCTGTCCAAGGCCCACATGGCAGCGTTGACCTTCGAGTCCATTCCTCCGGTGCCGACCTTGCTCTTCTGTCCGAATTCGATGTTTTGGCGGTGTTCGGGGGAGATGGTGTGCAGGAACCTCGCGCCCGGTTCCCACGGCGGCTTGTTGTAGATGCCGTCCACGTCGGACATCAGGATCAGCAGGTCTGACTGTATCTCCGCGGCCAGCATGGCCGCCAACGAGTCGTTGTCTTTGAGGCTGATGCCCCTTTTGCCCGGCTTACCGCCGATGGGTTCGTCGATCTGCGGCGGTGGCGACACCGCGTCGTTGGTGTTGATAATCGGTACTATGTTGAGGCTGATCAATTCGGAGAGCGTGCTCATCAGGTTCCTGCGCGTCTCTTCATTGTAAAAGTCCGCCTTGGTGACGAGGATTTGGGCCACCTTGACGCCGTACTGGGCGAACATGGCGTCGTACATCGACATCAGCCCGGACTGGCCTACGGCGGCGGCGGCGCGCGGTTCCACCAGCAGTGGCGCCTCCTGGGGGACGCGGTTGTAGAGAACGGGGACCTGGGGGAGACGCGCTTACCTCGCGGGTGTGCCCCGTGGGCGACAGAGTCTCCCGCATGGACAGCGACATCAGCAATTCTTTGGTCAGTTTTTGTTTGCCGAACGCCACTGCCCCGCTCGTCACCATGATGCATTCTCGGCCCTCGTTTTGGCACTCCGCCACCTGAAAAATATGGCGGGACTTTGGACAGCGGAAAAATTAACCGGAGTTTTCGTCGTGGAAAACGAATTTGATTTTTTAAAAAACTTTATTCAAGCGAGATGACAAAAAAGCTAGCGACGTGGTTCGCACCGTGGTTTTATACAGACAAATTGCTGACGCTTTGAGAAACAAGTAATATAATATGTATGGGAACCTTTACTCAGCAGTTTACAGTATTAAAGCGTTTATAACTCCTCCGCCCTTAGATAAAAGCACGGGTACAACAAGTGCTTTTAAATAACAATATTTTCTTTTTGTTTATTAATTTTAGATTTAAATGGAAAATATTTATATAATAAATAAATCAAGATTAATATAAGTATTACGTATAACAAAATTGTCCAAACACTAGTTCTCGTAGAATATATACGTGATGACATCTTTCCAAGGTTTTCTTTTGCTTCATCCATTTGGATTTGCAGCTCCTTTATTTCCTTTAGGTTAATCGTGTCCAATGTGAGTTCTGGTGGATCGAAGATTATTTTCTGTTTATGTAGTAGTGAGAGATTCACTTCCGGTAGACGAGTGTCATCAAATCTCAATCGATTAGGGGTATAGGTTCTTAGTTCAGTTTTTCCAATTTGTACTTTGCAAATTGGGGAGGATTCGATAAGGTGGGATCCAAATAATGGAACAGTATTAATGTCGTCATTACATTGTACTGTTGCTATTATCTTCTTAGGTGTCACAATAATCCATTTTCCATTTTGGATTTTAAAAATTTTTATTTCTTGAAGTTGGATTTTAATTGGTTTACAGTTTGTTATATTAGTCTTGTGAGTTATTATTTCCACTGAACAAGGCGGGTGTTCCTTCATATAGGTAATATGTATATTTTTACACATGAACTCATTTTTTAATAGTTTTACGCATTCAGAGTCCATAAATGAGTACATATTTCCACTCAATGCAAGATATGGTTTGACCGGTATATTAACGTAATATTGCAGTTCTTGTTCACTATTAACTGGTAGCGGATACAACTGGTAATATTGATAAATTTCTGATTCTAGTAGCGGTAGTTCCAAAATAAATGTTATTATTAGTCCTCTAGAGTAGCTTTTTATTTCTATAATTTTTTCAAAATTTAATATATTTTCGATAGATAACTCGAACGGCAGTTGATTTTCTTTTAATTCTTTTTTTATGTTTTTAATTTCTTCGAATAGATCAGACGGATCAATTATCGAATTATGTAAAGTGTTTAATTTGGCAAAACTAATTGCGGTTTCAATTTTCTCAAAAATATTATATATTAAATTATACATAAAGGTAATTTGATTCATTACTACATGTATTTGGAAATACTCATAGTCATTCGTTTGTTCAATGGTTATCTTTTTAATTACTTGATCAATTTGTAATATTTTAGATTTAAGGATAAGTTGGTTATGAGAAATATTTGATATCGAATTTTTAAATGAGTTGATTGTTTTTTCTAACAGTTTTATTTGATTAATTGAATTGATTCTTAAATTATTTTGGTTTTCTTGCAGTTGTTTGATTTCTACATCGTATTTTTCCGCATCAGATTGGTCTAAGTTTCCAGTAATACATTTAATAATAGAACCGATTGGGTTTAATAAGCCTCTTTTACTTCTTATAGATAATGGATTGAGTTGACTAATTTGATTTTCAATGCGTTTTTCTAATGTTACAAGAGGGATGACTGAATTAGAATATTCGTGAAAATAATTAGTATTATTTTTAATCTGACTAATTAATATTTTTACTTGATTATAGATTACATAGAATTCAGCAACAGCTGGGTTTAAATCAAAAATTTGTATAAAGGAAAAATGGTTGGAGGTTATTTTTGCGGTACCTAGTTTATAAGGAAGGATTCCTGGATAGTTGTTCAGGTTGTGGATTTTTACTTCGTTTGCTCCGATGTTTGTGAGCCATCTGGAACAATGTTCATTATTTTAGTCTCGTTAACGTGAGTTATTTCTTTTTTATTTGTTTTTGGGTTTTCTATTTCAATTTTATTGTTATCTAAAATTTTTGTTAATATGAATGGTCCAAAAAATTTTTTGTTTAATTTACTTTTTCGACTTTCGGTGCGCTTATACACTGTTGCGCCAATTTTTAGTTCTACTGGAGTTTTGTTTTTGTTAATTTTATCGATCGTTTTTTGTTTTTTTAAAAGGGAATCATTATGTACCTTTTCGTAAAGAAGCTTAGTATTTGTTTGATGGTTATTTACGTATTCACAATATATTTGAGAAGGAATTAGGTTCATAGGGTCACGTGTATCAGTGTGTCCTAGTGTTAATTCAAAAGGCGTAAAATTAGTATTTGAGTGTATAGTACTGTTATATGCAATGATCGCATAGGGCATAAGTGAAATAATATCGGAATTTTTATCTATTTCTTTCAATAGGCGTAAGTGTTCGATGAGGGTTGAGTGAAAACGTTCGATAGGTGAATTGGATTCGTGGTGACTCGGCGTTGTGAAATGGATTTTAATTTTATGTATTTTTAATAAAGAGTCTAGGACGTCATTTTTAAATTCTGTTCCGTTGTCAGAAACAATTTGTTTTGGTATTCCATAGAATGAAAAGAAATGTACTAATTGTTGACATGCTGAAATCGCAGTTCCAAAATAGGGCAATGCCTGTCCAAACTTAGAGAATTTGTCGATTATAGTTAAGAATTTTTGTCCGCCGGCAATAAAGGTATCGACGTGTATGATTTCAAATGGTTTAGAAGGTGTTTCAGTTAACATTAAAGGTTGATCTGGTGGTTTTCGTTGATATTTTGCTCGCTGGCAAATTTCACATTCGTTAATATATTTTGTAACATCTGACTTTAAGGATTTCCAGTAATAATTATTTTTTAAGAATTTACAAGTTTCTTCTATGCCTCTGTGATTGGTTTTACCTTCATGTTTATATTTAATTAATATATTTCGTTCTTCCGGTTCAACATTATTTATTAATTTTGTGCATTCGATTAGTTTATAATTTTGAAAATGTTGGGCGATTACTTTTTGTACAATTGGTCTTAGTTGTTGAGATAAAAGGTGAATATACGTCTTTTTGTTATTTAAATGTTCTTTGAAGAATTTTGTTAAACTAATTTCTTCTTCTGGAATTGTGGCATGTAATATATTATGACCGTCGAAGTTTTTAAAGTTACATTTAACATAAGTAGAATACGGAGATTTCTGAAGTATTATCTGATTTGGTTTGTTGTTAATAATTTCATTTAATATAGGTATTCCTTGTAAAGATTCGTCAGTATTTGTACTATGAATTGTATTTTCAAAAGCCGGTCTTAAAAGTTTGTTTTCGAGAATGATTATTTTTGGGCTCTTAGGACGTTTATTTTCTATTTCTTCGAGTGTTTTCGAAATTTCATTTGAGTCTAATTTATTCGGATCAAAATCGTTGTCTAGAAATTTGTTAATATCAAGATCAATATCTCCAGGATTATTGTAAATAGAGTCGGTTTCTAAAGCATTTAATTTTATTCGTGACAAGGCGTCCGCATTTGTGTTTTGTTTACCATTTTTATAAAGAATTTCATAATCAAATTCTTCTAGTTTAAGTCTCCATCTCATAAGTTTTGAATTTGGTTCTTTTAGGTTAAATAACCAGACTAATGGTCTGTGGTCTGTAAAAATTTGGAATTTTCTACCGAAAAGATACGGTCTAAAATATTTACAGGCCCATACTATGGCAAGTAATTCTTTTTCCGTTGTAGAGTAGTTTTGCTCGGTGTCATTAAGTGTGCGAGACGCGTATGCGACTGCGTTATCGTTTGGTGGTGTGCCTTGTGATAATACGGCACCTAACGCGTAATTTGATGCGTCTGTAGTTAACACGAATTGTTTTGAAAAATCTGGATATTTTAATATTGGGGCATTTATTAGTAATTGTTTTAAATGGTTGAAAGCTGTAATAAATTCGGGGCTGTGTTCTACTTTAGATTTTTTCTTTAGACATAAGGTCATTGGTTTTGTGATTTTAGCAAAATCTTTAATGAATCTTCTGTAGTATCCTGCCAATCCTAGAAATGACTTAATTTCTTTTTGTGTTTGGGGGAGAGGAAAATTTTTTACTACTTTTATCTTGTCAGGATTTGGACTAACGCCTTCTTTAGTGATTTTATGACCTAAATACGCTACTTCTTTATGTAGAAATTCTGATTTATCTAATTGAATTTTAAAGTTTGCCTCCCTTAGTCTCTGAAAAATTTTTCTTAATCGATCAATGTGTTCCTGTAGGGATGTGGAAAAAATTATAATATCATCTAAATATACTAAACAGATTTCGTTTTGGAAGCCTCTTAGCACATTATTCATAACACGTTGGAACGTCGAGGGTGAGTTTTTCAATCCGAAAGGCATGCGTTTAAATTCGAAAAGTCCAGTACCAGTAGAAAAGGCTGTCTTTGGGATGTCATCGGGATGCATTTCTATCTGATGAAAACCGTTAGCTAGATCCAGAGTTGAAAAATACTGAGCTTTACCGAGTTTATCAAGAATATCTGAGATATTAGGCAAGGGAAATTTATCATCAATTGTTTTTTCATTAAGTTTCCGGTAATCTATGACAACGCGCCATTTACGTTTATTTGATGCATCTAATTTTTTTGGTACGATCCATATAGGACTACTCCAAGGGGAATGTGAGGGTTGGATTATATTATTTTTTAGCATTTCGTCTATTTGTCTATTTACTTCGGCTTTATGTATTTCAGGATAACGGTAATTTTTTGTGTAAACGGGGGTTTCGTCAGTTAGATTAATTTTGTGTTTAATTTGATTCGTGAAAGATAATGGCACTTTATCACAATAAAATATGTCTCGATATTCGTAACATAACTTCCTAATTACTTTATATTCTTCTTTATTACAGTGATTCAGTCTTAAATTTTTTAGATTTTCTTTTTGCAGATTGTCGAAATTACTTATTGAATGTTCGATTAAATTTTCATTGTTATCTTCTATTTTT